TTCCAAACAGACGTGTAAAATGAGGCGGAAGCAGTTATCTTGAATTGGTTTAGTACTCATCTCTGTTTTCTGTTATTACAAGCTAAATTTAACTTGATTGATTGATTACTAAAATTATACGTTGCAGGAATATACGAGAGACAAGAAATCATTGAAATCTCAGGTAATTCATAAGTTTAAAAAGTTAAAATGTAGATATTTATTTATCTATGATATTCACGTTGTTAAAATCTATGCTCGCTAGAGGCGTATACAGATTCCGGATGGGGTGTGTGGCTTAACATAACCCCCATTGCCCTCCCCCCTGTTTCATCCATGATACACCCCTGACACCCATAAAAAGTTATATCCATAATGTTTTCGCTAAGACTTATTTACAATTGCTTTGTTTCCTAAAAGGATATTTTCAGTAATGGCTTCTTTGTTAATGTAAAAACTTGCGAATTTATGCTGCACAGCAAAGAAAGGAAATTGCGAGTAATAAAATCTGTTCAATATAGAAAACAATAATATTTTCTTTATTGTTACTTAGAGCGGGTTTAAAAGTTTGGATTGTGAATCAGACAACCCATTCTTGTCAATATTGCTGGGTTACTTAAAGTCATGTCTACAGTCCATTTAGATGTACTTAACCTCAGACAGATTATAAGTTCAGATAAGTTGTATTCAATAAATAAATTAATAAATATATAAATAGCCGGTTGTACAGTCGGGTTTAGTTGAAGACACTGATAGGAGCTCCTAGTGCACTATCCTCGTCATAACTCTGACCAGAAGTTGGAGCAGTAGGATCTAAACACCATCTAGTGAGTAGGGGTTTAGGAACCTGCTTAGGCTGACTAAACTTCAGGTTACATGTCTCCTTGGGAACAATAGTGCACTGGTGTTCAGGCATCAGTTTAGGGACAAGCTTTGTGGTAAACCGGCAGGTTTTCTGGGGATTCAGATCACATACCTCTTCAGGAACTTCAACAAGAGAAGCGATAGTTTTATCATGACATTCCTCAGCTCCCTCTTCATATGTGCATCCAGCTCCACAGATCTCAACGGGTAGCTTTTCACAACTTGTGTCACCAACAAACTTACCAGGCTGCTTCTCAATATATTTAGTGGCACAGGAGGACTCATAAACAGTTCGACATTCTTCAGGTCCTTGACCGTTACAGACCTTGGTGATTGGCTTGTAACATTTCTTGACGGTCTCGTTGAAAGCCTGTTGCTTGAACGTGATTTGACACTGCTTTTCAAAGTTTTCTTCGCATACTTCCTCCTGGGTTGGTGTGAACTGTGTGATGTAGGTGTAGTGGCACTGTTCCACATTCTTGTGTGTACACTCAAGGATTGGTTCCTTCTCTAGTGAAGTGACCTCCTCAACCTTATCAACACAGCAAAGTCCAGACTCGTTATCTGTGACACAACCACTGAAGTCAACGCCACCAGGTGTGCTCTGCTCTTGTCGTCCAGAACGGAACTGCTGAATAACTCCATTCTGACCATGAGCATGATCATGATTGAAACCAAAGTCAGCAGTTACTACAGAGACTATCAGACTCAGAACACACACTATCTAAATTAAAATAAAGAGATAATAAATTTTAATAATATTCAAAAATGTTCGGGTTATTGCCAAAAATGTAACCAATTCTGGAATGGGAACAGCATTTTTGAGATTTCGAATGTTATTGATATTTTTTAAAAGTAAATAGCTGGGTAGTAAACTGGGTCTGTGTACACTTGCACAATTGCTGGCTTTCATGATGATTGAAGCATTTAAAATCACATCTTGAGTCTAAAAGTCTTCTCCCTTTTCCACAGTTTTCTGGTTCTTACTGTAATACATCACCAAAATTAAGTTGCCCTATATTTCAAAAGTGCTTTCAAAATTCAAAGATTTAAAATAGTAGTCTTGGAATGGTCACATTTTGGATAAGCTGCAGTGGTAAAAGAATTTTACGGGTTTGAGATTTAAAGCAAGTTTACTAAGTTTACTAATCATAAGAAATTATCATGTTTTGTGCAGAATATGGTTATACCTTCATCCTCATGCTGTTGGGAACACACTAACGTAACTGACCAAACCCCGGCGTTAACATCTTTATATATTGAATATTTTGTCATGACTAGGCGTAATCAAACACAAGAATATTTGGACAACACTAATATTATATTCAAATAAACGGATCCTCCTCATAGACTCTGACAGGAGTAGAAATGGGCAACGTTCTTTGAACGATTTTTGTTGTAAAGTTACAGAAAATACGGAAAGAACAGTAAATTTGAAGATAACGAAATGACTATTTTTGTTAACTAAACATGTAATTTTTGGAGTTAAAAGGTATGGGCAATGCCCGATTTACAAAGGTACCCTTGAAACCTTCAAATGATCAATAATATGGAAGATTTTCTTGTTTTTCTAGGTTTTAAAGTGTTATTTTCAGAATATTGCTCTAGCTCTCTTGAAGTGGAAATGTCCAAATATCTTTTGTGGAGAAATCTCCATTGAAAATAATCCGATTTCAAAAATATAAACGAACTAAATTACAAATGAAAGGTTTTAAGGGTACCGTTGTAAATCGGGCATTGTCATCTTTGTTTGGAGGGTAACTAGAAAATACACTTACAGTCCTTTTAAGACCAAAATTCGTCCGTTAAACAGGGGAAAAAATAGGGCTTAAATCCGAAGACCCACAAAAAATTTAGTAAAAACCCAGAAAATGCTGTCAACGAACTAGTGTACTGTTTAGTTAAAACTATTCACGAACGGATTTTAAAACCCAGAAAAGTGTCTAGCCCTAGACTACCCTAGAAGTAAGGGTATATATATTGCTGCACAAAAATAAATACTTGAGGGATATTATTGAAATTTTGTTAAAATAACAAAATATGTTTAAAAGCATTTTTAAACATAATTGTGTAATCATTTTGCAATTTATAAAATGGGATTCATTTGGAAATAATTTAATGCACGATTAATCCTTAAGGAATTCATTCCTGTAAAGGGGGGGTTAAGGGATGATACATTGAAGATGACTTTTTCAATTAAAATCGAAAGTCGTCTTTATTGTATTGATATAATCGCCTATAGGGTACAGATAAGATAATCAGGGTTGATTCTTTAACTTTTATATGCCCTTACATTAAAAATTAATGGACCTTTCTTTTTTTAAAATCATTTGTTTGAATCTTTTGATTTTTTAACAGATAAACTGATAATTAAATATTCTAGAGCACTGGGAAATCTCGGAGCATTAGATTTGAAGAACCAAATAAAAAGGTATACCATCTTATATTTAAAAATTATAAATTTTAATTAAAAAAAATAAGTTAACATTTTTACAGGACGTTCCTTTAAATGTTCGCTTCCCTGACAGAAGACGATAAATCACGAAATTGTGAAAATATGGAAGAGAACAACAATTTGAATTGTTTACAAGAAGCTGAAACTTTTAAATGAACAATACTAGTTAATCTTATTCTCATCGTATCTCTCATTGGTAAACCATCAAACCAATCAGAGATCGAATAAGTTGTGTAATACAGTAATACCCAGAACACAATGGAATAGGAAGACGACATTAAGGCAATAGTTTTACTAGACACTTATTAAATCACAAATTTAGTAAAACGGGTCCGCTGCACGAGCACAATTGTTGTTTCTCATGCTCATTGGAGTTTTTAAAGTTAACACTTGATTATAAATGTCGTCTTCCTATTCCAATTTGTTTGTTCATCAAGATGATAAAGAGAAGAGATCCATGTTTACCTGAGCTGGGAACTTATGGATAAATGCTGTAAGTTAAACTCAGTTTCTCCTTTCTTTTGTTGTACATTAAAGAGTGTAATTTCTCTAAATTGTTCACAAATGTAATGTAAGGAAAGAATGATTTTAACCTATATATTATTTTTTTAAGCTCCCAGCTTATGCTGAATACCTTAAACCCCTCTCCCCTCCCTTGGTGCTGTGTACACAGCACAGTTGCCGAGTTTCGTCTTTACTACAGTCGTCGTCGTATATATCAATACAATTTTTTTATTTCTACCAAGCTTTCAAACAGACATGGATACACATAAACATGGAAACAAAGATAAGCTGTCAATTAACAGCTTTTCTGTGTTTACTTGTAAACTTGTAATTTAAAAAAAAAATGTTGAAAATCAAAACTTGAATAGAAAAGTTGTCTTCATAGTATTGATACAGTTAAACCCTAAATACTAAATACATCGAAAGAATTTATGAAATGTCGTCTTGAAAATTTTTCAATGGGTTTTATATTATTTTACGTAAATCACAGTATTTGCGAAAATATATAAATAGCCATGAATATGCAGAAACAGTTTTACAGAGCTCCATATAATCATTTAATTAAAAAACTAAATATCTACAACATTCAATTATCAGAAAGTGAAGAATACGACATTTGATAAATTCTTTCAATGTATTTAATATTTAGGTTTTAACTGTAAAAACTCCGACCTCTGTATTTAAAATTGTAAACTGAGGCGTACTTGTCGTATTTCTATTCCAGAGTTGAATGGTTCTCACTGTATATATAAACGATGCATAATGTTGACTTTGACATAAAACATAGCAATATGCCGTTTTCAAATCTTTAATTTATGAAAGTTTAATTTGATTTTTATCTGTTCAGAGCTGAAAACTTTAGAATGGTGGATATCGAGATTAATTCTTGATCCTCTCTTTTTTAATATCGAGACTAACCTAATCTTGTACTTGTATCCTGATAAATGTATACAATTCAACCAATCAGAGTTGCATATAGTCGATAAATTTGAAATTTTGCGCGACATTTAAGATTAATATACAGAAACGGGAGGGACTCTCTAATTTTAAAAAAACCGGTATTTTTTATTTTTCTCTATTATATCCAAGAAAGAACGACTTAAGAAGATAATCAAAAGTGTGTCCATTGGATACTCAGATTAAGTAATCGGGATTATGTATATTCCATTCTAAAGTTTTCAGCTCAGATCAGACAATTATTTTCTGTCAATGCAAAGTTTTGCATATTAATATTACCAAGCGTGTGGAGAAAATATACTAAACACCCTACCCTGGCAAGCAAAGGGATATCCGGATAGGATGAAACTTCAGAGACGACTCTACGGAATAATTTATTCATCCTTGGTTTCACACAGCTGTAAACATGGTTCTTTCAATGTCAAATCATTTAGTAAACCTTTAAAAATGAGATTTAAATCCAAATTAGTTCGTTATACTCTATGTTGTATGTCATCTTTAAACTATCAGCCTATGTGGGTAATTATTAAATCTATTGTTTTCCCTCATGCGCTATTTGTTTATTTATTTATTTATTTATTTACTTATTTATTCATTCATTCGTTTATAATTTTTAATAATTAGTTAGGTTTGTCATGTAAATGTTTAAAGTAATTGTTATAGTGTAATAAAATAAATCTGGTTATATTAGAAAAAAAAATCTTGGAAAAGGTTTAACAATTAAATGTAAGAAAATTATTTGAATAAAAATGGCGAACGTTAAAGATCAACCAATAAGATTTTATGAACTGTTTCTAAAATTCTTCACAATCTTTTTAATTCGTCATTTTCTAAGAAAAGTATTCGATGGTGATCGCTACTATAATCTTACTTCTTTCTACTGCGTCTATGAGAAAACTGTTAAGCACGACCCATACCGACCGAAGAACGTAGCGTTCATACAAAATCAGAGAGTTGCAATATTCGACTCTGATTGCAAAAAATTCAATGAAAACGACTTTTTAATTCAACTTTTAATTGCTGGCAAAGTTTTTCCGAATTACAAGCTACAGGTAATTAAAAAGAACCCGTTTTAATTGACAGCTTATCTTTGTTTTCATGTTTTTGTATATCCATGCTATTTAAAAGATTGATATAAATCAAAATTAAAATCAAAAGTCGTCTTCATTATATTCCTAAAATTGCCTACCACATGAAGTTTGAACACGCCTAACCAGAGCAGATTGTTTTACTTTGTTGGGATATTACAAGCGAATGATAATTATGCATTATGCTTAGAAAACATTTGATCTTCACGCATATCTTATTTTTGATAAAGATAGAATTTTAAAGAACAAAAACTTTTTTTTCCACCAAAACTAAGCAGCAAATCAAGAATTCAGAAAAATAATAAAAAAGTCGTCTCGTAGATACTCATGTGATTAATAAAAGCATTCTTACAATTACAATTATTTAGTGGTAAGCCATGACAAATTAATAACTCGATAAAAAAATCTTAACACTTTCGTGAAGAAATCGATTTTTGAACCCATCTTTGAATGTCGTCTTACTTTAGGAACAATTTTTGCAAATTATGACCAAAAAACAAAATCAGATAACTACCATCCAGGAAACCTTACCGCCAAAAACCATCCAGAAAACCCTACCTCCAAATAACATCCAGGAAGCCTTTCCTCAAAATACCTTCCAGGAAACCCTTTTTCCGAATAAAAACAAGGAAACCCTACCTCCAAATACCATCGAGGAAACCCTACCTCCAAATGCCATCCAGGAAACCATATCTCCAATGCAATCCAATAAACCTTACCGCAAAATGCCATCCAGGAAACCCTACCTCCAAATACCATCCAAGAAACCCTACCGAGAAATACCAACCAGGAAACCCTATCTCCAAATACCATCCAGGAAACCCTACCAAGAAATACCATCCAGGAAACCCTACCTTGAAATAACATCCAGGAAACCCTACCAAGAAATACCAACCAGGAAACCCTACCAAGAAATACTATCCAGGAAACCCTACTGCCGAATACCATCCAAGGAACCCTACCTTGAAATAACATCCAGGAAACCCTACCTCCAAATACCATCCAGGAAACCCTACTGCCGAATACCATCCAAGGAACCCTACCTTGAAATAACATCCAGGAAACCCTACCTCCAAATACCATCCAGGAAACCCTACTGCCGAATACCATCCAAGGAACCCTACCTTGAAATAACATCCAGGAAACCCTACCTCCAAATACCATCCAGGAAACCCTATCTCCAAATACCATCCAGGAAACCTTACCTAGAAATACCATCCAGGAAACCCTACCAAGAAATACCAACCATGAAAACCAACCTCCAAATACCATCCAGGAAACCCTACTGCCGAATACCATCCAAGGAACCCTACCTTGAAATACCATCAAGGAAACCATACTGCCGAATACCATCCAAGGAACCCTACCTTGAAATAACATCCAGGAAACCCTACCTAGAAATACCATCCAGGAAACCCTACTGCTGAATACCATCCAAGGAACCCTACCTTGAAATTACATCCAGGAAACCCTACCTCCAAATACCATCCAGGAAACCCTATCTCCAAATACCATCCAGGAAACCCTACCAAGAAATACCAACCAGGAAACCCTGCCTCCAAATACCATCCAGGAAACCCTACCAAGAAATACCAACCAGGAAAACCTACCTCCAAACACCATCCAGGAAACCCTACTGCAGAATACCATCCAAGGAACCCTACCATGAAATATTATCAAGGAACCCCTACTGCCGAATACCATCCAGAAAACCCTACTGCTGAATACCATCCAGGAAATCCTACTGCTGAATACCATCCAAAAAACCCTACCTCAAAATACCATCCAGGAAACCCTACTGCCGAATACCAACAAGAAAACCCTACTGCCGAATACCATAAAGGAAACCTTACCGCCAAATACCATCCAGGAAACCTTACCGCCAAATACCATCCAGGAAAACTTACCGCCAAATACCATCCAGGAAACCGAATTGCGAAAATTTTGCGAAAAAAAATAATGCCAAAATTTCGAGAAAAAAAACGAAAATTTCGCGAAAAATACAAAATTTTCAAGAACAAGTTTTAGCGAAAAAGTTGCGAAAATTCATCAAAAATGACTAAATTTTGAGAAAACAATTTATCTGTGAGCTCAATTGATGGATTAACACAAAATATAAACATAGATTTAAGAACGACTAGGAGACATCAGACAATTCATAGATTTGCTTGAAATACTTTCTCGACCGTTAAGATTTTCTTCTTAAAATACACAATAAAATCTACAACGGTAAGAACCAAAATAATTCTGAAACTTAAAAAGATAGCTAGTGAAATCAAATTCTCTTCATCAAACATTGATTAAAGTAAAGGAAGAGAAATTATTTGTATGACATAATAAAACTTCAAAAATTGAGCTTTCAGATGAGCAGAGAATTCTATTGAGCAATTGATTTTTGCAGCAATAAAACTCAAGGATTTCATAAAAATTTTCCAATTTCGCGAAAATATTTCGCATTTTCGCGAAATTTTCGCATTTCGCGAAATTTTTGCATTTCTGGAAATGATCGCAGTTCGCAAAAATACTTTCTCAATTTTGCGAAGTTTCGCTTTATTTTCGCTTCATTTATTTTCGGAAGAAATGCGAAATGCGACCGAAAGTTTTCGCAATTTTTCGCGAAGCCTTTCGTTCGATCCACTAATCTGGCTACACTAAGTATCTATCTCCTATCTAGCTAAGTATCTAGCTACACTAAGTATTTATCTCCTATCTCTAAACTAAGTATCTATCTCCTATCTAGCTAAGTATCTATCTCCTATCTATCTAAGTATCTATCTCCTATCTATCTTCTATCTAGCTAAGTATCTAGCTACACTAAATATCTATCTCCTATCTACACTAAGTATCTATCTACACTAAGTATTTATCTCCTATCTAGCTAAGTATCTAGCTACACTAAGTATCCATCTCCTATCTAGTTAAGTATCTATCTACACTAAGTATGTATCTCCTATCTAGCCAAGTATCTATCTACACTAAGTATCTAGCTACACTAGGTATCTATCTCCTATCTAGCATCTAGCTACACTAAGTATCTATCTCCTATCTAGCTAAGTATCTAGCTACACTAAATTTCTATCTCCTATCTAGCTAAGTATCTATCTACACTAAGTATGTATCTCCTATCTAGCCAAGTATCTATCTACACTAAGTATCTATCTACACTAAGTATCTAGCTACACTAAGTATCTATCTCCTATCTAGCATCTAGCTACACTAAGTATTTATCTCCTATCTAGCTAAATATCTATCTACGCTAAGTATCTATCTCATATCTAGCTAAGTATTTAGCTACACTAAGTATCTATCTCCTATCTAGCTAAGTATCTATCTCCTATCTAGCTAAGTATCTATCTCCTATCTAGCTAAGTATCTATCTACGCTAAGTATCTATCTCATATCTAGCTAAATATCTAGTTACACTGTAAGTATCTATATCCTATCTAGCTAAGTATCTATCTCCTATCTTGCTAAGTATCTAGTACGGTTTCCACCGGAATTCCGGGTTACGGTTTACGTACGGAAATGATCCGGAAATTTTTTCCATTTCCATTATGGAAAAGGTTCCGGAAAACCGGAATTCCGGAACGATTTTTTTCCGTAAAACGGAAATTTCCGGAACTTTGTTCCGGAATTACGGATCGTTACGGAATTCCGGAACGTTCCGGAAATTCCAAAACGTTCCGGAATATCGTTCTGGAAATTTTCCGGAAAATCGTTCCGGAAATTTCCGGTTTCCGGAATATTTGGTACCAGAATTACATTAAAGTCTTACATATGTAAATACAACACAAGTTAGTAACACTAACAATATATGGATGGATGCCGGACGGTAGAAAAAGTTATACTCAATAATCAATATTCAAAGTTACTATAGCGTGAAATGTAACTGATAAACCGAGGGGGGGGGACTCTACCACTAGCAGGGCAGTAGCTAGCGAGGGGGGGGGGGCAATTATCCTCGATTTTTTTCTTCAAATTTTCAAACTTTGTAAATATGAATTTAATTAAAATAAGAAAAATTCTTTAAGTTCCGATTTACGGAATGGAAATTTTCCAGTTTACGTTTTGTAGACCGTAAAAATTTCCGGCTTACGGAATGGAAACCAGAAATTTTTCCGGTTTACGAAATGGAAACTGGAAATTTTACAGTTTCCATTGCGTAAAACGGAAATTTTTCCGGTTTACGTGACGTAAACCGGAAAATTTCCGGTTTCCATTTATACCGGAATTATCCCGGAATTCCGGTTTACGCAACAAATTTCCGGATCATTCCATTTCCAAAATGGAAATTTTTTTCCGGAAAAATGGAAACCCTAGTATCTAGCTACACTAAGTATTTATCTCATATCTAGCTAAGTATCTATTACACAATGTATTTATCTCCTATCTAGCTAAGTATCTATCTACACTAAGTATCTATCTCCTATCTAGCTAAGTATCTAGCTACACTAAGTATTTATCTCCTATCTAGCTAAGTATCTAGCTACACTAAGTATCTATCTCCTATCTAGCTATAGTATCTATCTACACTAAGTATCTATCTCCTATCTAGCTATAGTATCTATCTACACTAAGTATCTATCTATTTGAGTGATTTGTATGGGAGTTTACGAATGGTGTCCCACTGGGTTAAGTTCTGAAGAAGATGTTTAAGTCAGGGAGTAAAGAAAAGGTTTGAGCTAGATATTGTTGAAGAATGATGATTCAAATTTTAAATGGATTGTAATTGGATCTTGACAACTTTACAACAATTAATAACGTCAAACAGCTAAATATTAAATTCTATTTCAATTTTTTGTAAAGATTTGTGTATTAATGATGGTAATAGAAGTTTTATGGATCAAGCCCGTCTAAGTTGTATATGCTATTGTTTCAATACTTTACTATATGTTCATATGTTTCTTAACTATAAATCCTTCATGATTCACGTTCTAATAATTAATGTCTCTATTATTATAAATCCTCCATGGTTCAGGTTAAAATAATTAATACCTCCATGATTATAAATACTCCATGGTTCAGGTTCTAATAATTATTCTCTCCATGATTATGAATACTCCATGGTAAATGTTCTAATAATTAATCTTTCCATGGTTATGAATACTCCATGGTTCAGGTTCTAATAATTAATCCCTCCATGGTTATGAATACTCCATAGTTCAGGTTCTAATAAGTAATCTCTCCATGATTCAGGTTCTAATAATTAATCCCTCCATAGTTAGAAACACTCCATGGTTCAGGTTCTAATAATTAATCCCTCCATGGTTATGAATACTCCATGGTTCAGGTTCTAATAATTAATCACCACCTTGTATGAGTAAGATGTTACAAAACAAAAGCTGGCAAACCCTGAAGGCAATTAACTAGACGTACACTGCCGCGAATACATTTTAAATTTAGAATGTCACACGCTCAGGTGTATACAGTGGGACTCATAGAACTATGGAATTGGAAGACGACTACTAAAATCTGATTTTATTTTAGTCCCAAATACAGTGTGAAGTGTACAAAACCTCATTTAAATTTATTTTCAAGCAATGGCAATGATAAAAGGATTTGCTTTTAGCAACATAACATACACTTGAAATTTCATAAACGTCGTCTTTATATTTCATCATTTTATGGGTCCCACTGCATGTGAAAACAGGTTTATCCAAGAGGGGTTCTTTAAATATTCTTTAAATATAATTCAAAATAAAATTCATTGGAAAATGTAAAAAGTGGAAACGATTACAAGAACTATGGGGGAAGGATAGCAAAGTATATCTATCTATCTATATTTCAACATCTATTTATTATTCTAGTGGTCATTTAGTTCTTATCCAGAACGTAATTAATAAATCAATTCATACCTTTGATCGAGGATTATGCTAATTATCTCATAGGAATCTACAAACAAACTTGTAAACAAGAAATGTCATTTAATATTTTAAACCGCTGGGCCGGGTTGTAAAAATACTATAAAAAATTGTGCGTTTCTTTTTGTCCAATGCTTCTGATTGACACTTTAAAGGAACTGTTAAGGAAAATCAAATGATGGTATTGACTGAAACCTAAAGAATTTATAGAGTTGAACGAGGCCTGTATGAGTTTTCTCTGATATCCTTGTCTCGAGAAAATTGGTCTAAAACTGTGTCAACTTTATACCAAAACTTATATAAATGGGATCTGGTATAGGAATCAAATAGACGCCTAAAAAGATTGTTTATCTAAAAATGACGCTATTGGTTCACGGGAAGGTTTTGATCAAATTATATTGCAAAACGTCTCTTTTAAATAAATTTATCGGCATATTTGATTGGAACCATTTCTGAATATTGTTTATGTTAAGAATTCTCAATTTTTTATTGACAAAAAGGTTTTATTTTTGCAACTTCTTCATGTTGCTTTATTCCTTTGCGGTTAATTTGATATGTTCTAGATTGGCAGGGTTTTATTTGAACACTTAGACTTTATTGCGTGGCTGATGGGTAACAAGAAACAACAACAACTACAACAACTACAACAACATCTACAACAACAACAACAACAACAACAACAACAACAACAACTACAACAACATCTACAACAACTACAACAACAACAACAACAACAACAACAACAGCAACAACTACAACAACAAAACAAGAAGAACAAGAATAACAAGAACAAGAGAAAGAATACGAACAAGAACAAGAGAAATAACACGAACAAGACCAATAGAAAGAACAAGAACAAGAACAAGAACGAGAGAATGAACAAGAACAAGAACAAGAGAATGAATCTATGCAATGAACAAACAATTAAGTCTTCATAGTTCTCTTCAAAATTATCATCATGGTTTGAAACGTAGGACGCCATGTCATTATTAGCTCAGTTTGAGTTTATTATCATGGAGAGACTGTTAATTATCTGTTTATGGTTCGCCTTGATAACATTATAAATTCCACCGCAATTCTTTATTGCAGCGAAATAAGTCCTGGTATTAAGCTATATTCAGCTTAAAGAACAAGGTTTCAATTCTTGATTAAGTGCTTAAAGGGACTGATAGATGAAGTTTAAAGTGATTCTATACATTTAAAGATCGTCAAACGATCGTTTTTTGTTTCGTTTTCCGATCGTTTTCAAAAACGGTCGTTTACGATCGTTAACGAAACTGCGAGGCTTATAAAACGATCATAATGGAAAACAATCGTTTTGAAAAACGATCATTTCGTTTCCGTTTTTTTGTCGTCGTTTTCATAACGAAACGATCGTTTTTCAAAAAGTGAAAACGTTAACATCCCTATTAACAGTGGTATAATTTTACCTTTTATAAACACTGAGCACGATGCATTGGTTTTTCTCATTTATACTTGGTCAGATAAATTGTGAAATAAAGGGTACTGTTGTAAATAGGATATCCCAAGCTCTTTATTTGGAGAGACATTTTTAATTTGCTAAGATGCCATTAACAGAAATTATACTTTATTGATTTCTCAGAAGAAAGTTTTTTTCATAAATATTTTCTAGCATCTCTGCAGTACAGTGTGTACAATTGACGCATTTTGAACATTTTTGAATCTTTTTCGTAAGTAATTTACTTCCACTAGTTTCTCAATAAAACAATTAAAACACCACTTTGTACTTAAACCCTAAAATGGCAGTCTTAATGTTAATGGTTGACAATAGTGCAATGTGCAATGTGTATAGCCCAATTATTCAAGGTTAGTTCATTATAAAAAATTATACCGCTAACTTTTGGAAAAATGTTTTAAATGTTTAAGGCCTTTTAAAAATTTAAGTTCCAGATCTATCTTTAATTTTTTTATACCATCTGATCATTTGACCGTCCTGCCCTATAACTAAGAAATTCTAAGGGTATATGAATAAAAATGTAATTGCTAGTACAAAAAATCACTCCCTAGCCTGAGGATTAAGAAAGCATTTTAATGGAATAAATAAAAAATGAGCACTGAAACAATCTAATTAATGTTTAATCAATTCCAAATCAGGAAAACCTTCGGAAAATAAATCTTTTCATACTGTATCCCATTTTCATACTATATCCCATTTTCATACTGTATCCCATTTTCATACTGTATCCCATTTTATAAAAAAAATAACTTTTTTTTTGGTTTGTAAAATATTTTGTAAATTTTCCAATTGAATGAAAATCATAAAATTTTAGTGAAAAGGGTTATATAGACAGCATATATGAAAATTAACACTGATGAATGTTATAGTAGAAAATGGGGCCAGAAGTTTAATTACTAACGGCCGTTTTCATGATATTTATCAAGATACCCTCACTACCTTGAAAGTCAATAAAACCAACAAAGTTTTAAACGTAATTTGAGCTTGNCCCCCCCCCCCCGAGCTACAATTATAAAAAAAGTTAATTAGGCCTTTTTTGTTAATTAAACAGTGTAATAAATATCAGTCTTATTGAAACTAAAGTTTGAATGTTTTCTTCTTTCATCATGGTTCTGTTATGACAAAACTTTTCTAGGCCAATAGTGCCTAGTTTAAGTCAGGCAGTCAGGCAGTGTTATACTATTTCTGCATCAATATACCTTCAAGCCGACAAGGGAATAATGGTTAGAAACTTAAAGAGGAAGAGAGGGGGGGGCTAAAAAAGGGTTCGTTTCAGTGATGTTTGGGCCCGGGCTTTTAATTTGTGAAGCAAGCTTTGGATGCAAAGATTAATTAAAATTACAGATAGAACACTAGATGTGGTCTTTTTAAGATTTCTAAGTATTTCGTTCACAATAACCCTGAGGAGTTACGCGTAGTCGGCGTAGAACAGGCTCTCTCTCTGTCTTGCAATTCTACCTGGGCTACTGCCTCGGGGTTATTGTGAACGAAATTCTTATAAATCTTGAAAAGACGACATCTAGTGTCCTATCTGTTATTTTAATTAATCTATGGTTGGATGAAATAAAGAAGGAAGCAATCGTTTTCCTCCTTTCTGGACTTTTGGGATTTCCGATTGAAAAATTAAAAAATTAAGAATTAAAAAATTAAAAATTAAAAAAGATACCCTTGAAAACTTTGTCAAAAAAAGGATAATTGAGATGAGAAGTTTTCTGGCAAAAAGTTGACTTTTTAAAATTCTCGTTTCTTTGCAAAAGTGACTTGCGGATCTATGTTTGCAAAGAAATTTTGCATGATTTTTGCACAGATGCCTTTCAAGAGAATTTGCACATTTTCAGTTTTCCTCGAAAACAAATTTAGTTTTCAAAAATGTTGCAAATATATTTGCAAATTTGAGTTCGTCGTGGTAAGGGCTTTTCAAAAATGTATAAATTAACATATTTCGCGCACTTTTTGTTTTTGGACATTTTTTGCTTAATAACTTAATATTGCAATAAATACTTGAAATTTTGCAAATTTGCTAATTTTTTTGCATATATTTCAAGTATAGCCCAAAGGGCTTTCTAAAAATGTATCAAATTTTATAGATTTGCATCACAATAAGAAAATAGGGGGAAGGGGGCTCAGACTATTTTGGGTAAAACAGACGTCAGCCTGAATAACTTTTAGTCTCAAAATGTATGCTCAAGCCAAAATATTAGAAAATAAATATGAACAAAATTAAAAGTTTGATTGATCGGAAATATCTATCTCTTGTTAACAGATATTTTCTTGATTTTAAATAATAGGGAAGGAATTCCAGAATAGTGAGTTTTAGGTTCTCACAGAGTAAGTATATTACATGATTTTATGATGAAAACCAAACCAGCATAAATGTGAGAAAAACACAAGAATTTAATTCAATCTTTCTGTGTAGGCTTGTATGACACGAGCCAATTGTTATTTAATTTTTGATACAAAAAATCTAAATTCACACAATCCCTTGGAATTTTCTGTGATCTACTAATTTGGTCGGGTTGCATGTTATAAATAAAGTTTCTATCAAGGTTTACCAAACTTATAATTCTTCCTTAACTTTAACTTTAACTTTATGAAAGGGATTGTAGTCATAATTTCAAGTGATCTTTCATGCCCTATTCTCAACAAAAAATAAACAAATGAAGAAATAAAGAAAATATCGACGTTTTTCTTTATAGAAAAGGGGGTTGAATTCGGACATAAACATTTTATTTCTCCCGCAGGTAGATAACCAGAATTTGGAAATAGGGATAACTCTACATAATTTAAGATAATTTCGTTGTTAATCAGCCATGTCTACAGTCTCTTTAAAGGGAGTGTTCGCGAACACTCCCTTTAAAACTATTGTTGACGGACGCGGGACGAAATCTCTTTTATTTCTATTTGATTATAAATTTAATTTGATGTCTGAAACAAATTAAGATTTGATTAAAACTTTAAAATAAAATGAATAAACAAAGTTTCTGGTTAATACTATTTGTTTCCCCAAGATTTTGCATTTTATTGGATTTATTTTATATCCTTGGTGCTTTATATAATTGCAGGAAAACAGGGAAATAATAAAAAATATAGGAATATTGATCGACCTCTATAATATCTGCAGTTATCGTTTAGTTTAAAATTGCAAATTTGATAATTACTCTGTTTCAAACACAAGGAAATTGGGGAAAATTACATTTTTTCTTTTTAAATCTTTAGAAATTCACAATTTTCATTTTTTTAAATTTGTACATTTTTCAAATTTTGTAATCTCCATTAACAAATAAACTAGATCCAACTCTAGTTTCTTTTTTAAAATAATAATGAAAAAAGTACCATTAAAACCTTATTCGGATAAAAATGTAAAAAGTCACAAGTTAAAATAAACTATTTAGATAAAGAAAAACATGGATCTCTAATTCATACTTGATCAGACAAAACTTTTAAGGGACCGCGTTGTAAATATGACATTGCCATCTTTACATGGAGGGTCATTTGAACTTACGTTTACAGTCCCTTCAAGATAGAAAAATGTTATGAAAGTGAAGAAAATTCTGAATATTGAGCTAGATGAATAAATTATTTGTTAAATTGGGCGAAACATCCAATCATGCATGATAATTATACGGGGTACCAACAAAACACGAGACTATTTAACGACGACATAAAAGTCAATCTTAATATTTTATCTTTTAAAAATGTATAATAAAGTTATACCAACTTTAGAATTTACAAATTAGATTTAATAAATAACTTTAGTTCAGTAATTTTGTTCTGGTAACCCTCGAATTACATATTTAATTGTAGACAATACAATATACATATATGGGTAGTTCATGTAAACTAACTGCAACCAAGTATATTTGTAGACTATACAATATACATATATGGGTAGTTCATGTAAACTAACTGCAACCAAGTATATCCTTTTCAGTCATATTTTCACCTCTAATTCAAAATCCGTTGATTAAAATCACGCAAATCTGCCCCTTTAGTATAAGTAAATTCAGCCTATATGAAGCATAAAGTCTGACCGCGTTAACCTTGTTGCACTGGCTAGTCCTGTCCATAGAGCTGGGTACAGTACAAACTGGGACCGGAAAGGTTGACCCGGCTCGGCTGCCCGTGTGATGTAAACTATTTAATTAAATTTTTTTGTTTAAAAAAAACAGTATGAAATTCTTCATTGAGCAGGTAAACATGGGCTCAGAAGCAAAGGCTTGATGACTTTTTACTGTTATATGATTGGTCAAAAGAATTATTTTGACTTTTTACAAAATACCTAGATGTTTTTAAACTTTACATATGATAATGAAGGGAATGTTNTCAGTGCTTCTAGATAGATTTTTAATTCAGTGCTTCTAGATAGATTTTTAATTCAGTGCTTCTAGATAGATTTTTAATTCAGTGCTTCTAGATAGATTTTTAATTCAGTGCTTCTAGATAGATTTTTAATTCAGTGCTTCTAGATAGATTTTTAATTCAGTGCTTCTAGATAGATTTTTAATTCAGTGCTTCTAGATAGATTTTTAATTCAGTGCTTCTAGATAGATTTTTAATTCAGTGCTTCTAGATAGATTTTTAATTCAGTGCTTCTAGATAGATTTTTAATTCAGTGCTTCTAGATAGATTTTTAATTCAGTGCTTCTAGATAGATTTTTAATTCAGTGCTTCTAGATAGATTTTTAATTCAGTGCTTCTAGATAGATTTTTAATTCAGTGCTTCTAGATAGATTTTTAATTCAGTGCTTCTAGATAGATTTTTAATTCAGTGCTTCTAGATAGATTTTTAATTCAGTGCTTCTAGATAGATTTTTAATTCAGTGCTTCTAGATAGATTTTTAATTCAGTGCTTCTAGATAGATTTTTAATTACATTGTAAATAAATCTACACAATCCTAAGAAGTTTGAAGATTCTAATAAATTATTTTAATTATCTTTGTTAGTGAACATTTAGTATTTCTTCATTGATTTTGATTGTAATGTTATTTGGATACTTAATTGTAAATATTTTTTATATCGCGGAGGGATTTCGATTTGATTTTTATTTTTCTGGTAAATTCGAAGAAGCTGCATTGTTATTTCAAACTTATAGATGGACATTAAACAGGGAGTAAGAAATAGAAGGGAGATATAACTGACGCGGTTCGCCCTACCATATGATTATACATGCTTTTAGGCGGGTACTCCATTTATTTATCAAATATTAAGAAATATGCGGTAATTGTACATCTGAAAAATGTTTCTTATACAAATGGAGTACCCGTCTGCAAATCATGTATAATCATTTGGTAGGGCGAACTGCGTCAGTTATATATCTCCCTTCTATTTCATACTCCCTGACATTAAAGTATGTTAAAATTTTTTAGATATTCCTCTCTGCTCATTATAATGATGAAAACGCAGAAAATGAGAAAACCAGAGGAGGTAAGATAACATAAATTTTTGTTTTTATCTTTTTAAAAATTTTCTAAATTCTTTTCTTAGATGATGGCAGTTGTTGATAAAATAGAAGAAGAAGATGGTGTAATAACTGTCTATTTTAACACTCCTTACGAGGTATTTGATCCTGATCTTGATCCAGATCTTGATCCTGATCTTGATCCTGAGATGGAATTTAAAGAATTTGAGCCGCGGTTTAAATCCGCCAAAACCCGGTTTAAATTAAGCGCCGGCTTAAATCTTGAAACATTTGATACAATTTTAAGTGGAACCAACCAAATTTAAACCGCCGCTCAAATTCTTTAAATTCGGCCACAGATCTTGATCCTGATCTTGAACCTGATCTTGATCCTGATTTTGATCCTGATCTTGATCTTGATCTTGATCCTGATCTTGATCCTGATCTTGATCCTGATCTTGATCCTGATCTTGATCCTGATCTTGATCCTGAGATGGAATTTAAAGAATTTGAGCCGCGGTTTAAGTCCGCCAAAACCCGGTTTAAATTAAGCGCCGGCTTAAATCTTGAAACATTTGATACAAATTTTAAGTGGAACCAACCATATTTAAACCGCCGCTCAAATTCTTTAAATTCGGCCACACTGATCTTGATCCTGATCTTGATCCTGATCTTGATCCTGATCTTGATCCTGATCTTGATCCTGATCTTGATCCTGATCTTGATCCTGATCTTGATCTCCAGGTAGAAGTTGATGATCCTATTATTGAGTTTACTTCCAACAAGAAACTATCTCAACTGAGACCAGTTTACACATCAGCAGGTACAGTACAAGTGTACAGGCTGTCCAGAGCCCGAAATTTAAAAGAGTATCGTTGAACGAAACTCTCGCAATTTCCTTTTTGGGGTCTAAACATTTGTGTAGATTTTGATTGTAGAGCTTCGAAAAAAAGGGAGAACATAAATAAACTGAAAAAAAATAGTTCATAACAAAATATTGATATTCACAAAACTGCCTAAACCCATTCGTGAAACCCGGGTTTTAAAACTGGTTTTCAGAACAATACACTGTCTTAAGTTTTGGCCTTAGTAGGTATAATACAGTGTAAAGGGTGTCTCATCAGTAGGTATAATACAGTGTAAAGGGTGTCTCATCAGTAGGTATAATACAGTGTACAGGGTGTCTCATCAGTAGGTATAATACAGTGTACAGGGTGTCTCATCAGTAGGTATAATACAGTGTATAGGGTGTCTCATCAGTAGGTATAATACAGTGTACAGGGTATCTCATCAGTAGGTATAATACAGTGTACAGGGTGTCTCATCAAACTTGAAAATGTTAAAAAAAATTGCACAATTTAAGTCGTCTTTTGACTAGCATTGTTCAGTTAAATATCTTTTATAAAAGTTTATTTTTGCAACTTTTACTTTTTTCAGTTTTCATTTTTTCATTTGAACCAATCTTTGTAAATATCTTTTTCAATTTTAATAAATTTTGTTCCTTGAAAAAAAACTATGTATTTTTATATACAGTACTAATAATATAATTCTTATGAATAAACAGATAATTTTAAAATATGTTAATAAAATTAACAACGAAAAGAAAAGTTTACATAAAACTTTCTTTACGGGGGGGGCGGGGTATAGAGGATATGAAGGTAATAAATAAATAATAAATTTTTTCTCTCTTAATATTTTTTAGGCCCTTGTTTAGTGTCAAGAAAACCAAAAATTAAATCTATCAGAAGTAAAGGTAATAATGTTTTATCTGAATCTTGTAGACCTGAGATATTTCAAATTTAAGATAATATTATAATCAAAAAGTCAAATTTAAATATCATTAGGTAAAGATGTAGGATATATGATAATTCGAGTTTGATGCAAGTAATAAGTAACGTTTCAACTTATTTTTTGTAAATTTACTTGCAATTGCATTGTTAAAAAGGTTAAATTTTAAACAATTCTACAATTAAAAAATTTAAAATACGATTCTTGAGAAGCCGCTTGAAAACCCATCCAGAACCAAGAAATATATAGACCAGGAATCGCAATATCTCATGCGTCAAATCTGTTTACTGCAGTGGGAGGAGATCAAAACAAAGAATTCAGAGGCAACGCATCATTTTTGAGGGAAAATGGCCCAAGGGGTGGAATGACCAGAAATCCAAAAATCCAAAGTATTTGCTCTAACTTAATATATTAACTTGTTTTTTGTTGGACTGTAATATCACATCAGACCTGTGTAGTCCTTTTCCTTCAACTTCTGTGGGGGCACTGGGTTTGTTTACATACATTCCTCCCATCACTCTACAGTGTACAGTACACAATTTGTACACAATATAGTTCCTTGTCCAGAACTATTTCAAATAAAAACAATTAATTTTTACCTTATCGGTCCTCGGTAATCGGTATATCTGAATGGTGCAGTGTGGTACAAACAGTAAACAACCCGTCTTAATGGGACTGTACACTTTATTCTCAACTTACACTCCATTTACAAAGTGACATGTCCAATTTACAAAGGTACCATTTAAACCTTTGTCTGATTAAGTATAAACGAAATATCCATTTGTTCTCTTTGAACACTGTTTACTTTCACTTGTGTTTTATCAATAAAAGTGATTTTCAAATTTATTTAATTGATAAAATTGTATATTATCAAGCAGGAAATCTTCCATAAAATTAATAACATTAGGTTATGGCACGGGTGTGTAATAAATGTTGTTAGAACATACCTATATATATATATGCGTTGTACAAGGTTCAAAAGGATCTAACTGCGTTAATCCTTAGCTACGTAAAACTTGTAATGCGATTCTATTCTACTGGACTGATACAGTTCATGTGACAAGCTTTGAAGAGAAAGGTATTCACTAGAGCTCACATGAAATACCAAAGTTAATCCCTTTAACACAGCTTTTCTTTAAAATTCTTGAAATTCCGCAAGTTTTTCAAAGAAAAAAAGTTTCAAGGTTAATGTCTGTCTTCATCAAACAACAATGTAATTTGTTTGGTTTTATCAGAAATTGGATTCAATGTAATTCAATGTAATGTTTTATTCTTTGCAAAGAAATTTAACCAATTTTTGGAATCAAAAAATTCTATTCTTTTTCCACTTTTTTCACTATTTTCTAATTGGAACTAGCTACAAAAAAAGAAAAAAAATCGGGTTTAAATGAAAAAGACATCATCTGTTATGTATTTGGAAATTGAAAAAAATAGTATAGTTTCCGTCTTTACTATTTTAAAAGTCACTTTTAAAGAAAAATCACATTTGAAACTTATCCATGTTTACCTAGAAAAACAGAATTGGCTTTTTTAACAACGTTTTCTTACGCGTTCGTTGGCCCACAATATCCATAACTGGTCAGGCGGGTTTCGTTGACTTTGTATTGGGACCAGTGTCTCCCCAACCTAAAGTAATGATGATGACAAAATAGAAATGTCGAACTATATTTAGTGTACTGAAAAAGTAGTCTCCATCATTTTTCTAAACTGGTTTGGTTCGACCTTCCACTAACTATATTTGTATAGTAAACTTATAAACTTATTTAGGCACAAACTCACTTCCACGCCTTCCTCTGCAGAAGGGGTTAGGAGGAAGGGATGGAGAAAGGGGTGGGGGGAGGGGCGCAGAAAGGGGTGGAGGAGGGAGTTGGGGAAGAAACGGGGGAAGGGATCATGATTGGATTGAAGGGATTATAAAGGATAGGGGTTGGAGACGAGACAGTGGAGAAGTACGAGAAGTGGGAAGTGGAAATTGGGGAAGTGGTAATGGGGGAAGTGGGGGAGGGGGAAAAATGAGAAAAGCAATCTCACAACAACTTTATCACGAAAACGAGGTAAAAAAAAATTCAATTTTAACCTTTTAACATTTTAACATTTTCACATATTAACATTTCAACATTTCAACATTTCAACATTTCAACATTTTAACATTTTAACATTTTCACATTTTAACATTTTAACATTTCAACATTTTCACATTTTAGCATTTTAACATTTTAACATTTTAGCATGGTTTTTCAATTTTTTGTCTGAGTTTTCTAAACCTTTTATTTTTTTCTAAGGGTGTTAGAAGTTAATTGAATTCACTTAGTTTTATTTGTTTCAGTTCGATACAGTCCCTAGCCCAAACTCAAAAGGAAGTGTTAGATCTTTATCTCGACACACTTCTGTCCAGAATAGTACAGTACAGTCACCGAGGTAAATAGTAAAGAACAGTGCAGTACAATGCCGAGATAAGTAATACAGTAAAGTACAAAACAGTACAGCATAACACAGCACAGAAGCACAGTACAAGACATAATTGTACGGTACAGAAAGTATGGCGCAGTACAGTACAGTGCACTGCTGTGCCGACACAGTGTACAGTGCAGTACAGTAAAAATACCGTATAATCACCCGGGTATCATAATATTGTAAAGTTTAGGAAAATGCGGTCCAATCAACACATCATAAAACAGTACATACATTAAACAGTAAACACATATACTGTACATTAGAAAAGGCATGCACTATAGTAAAGATCGGTATACAGTACATAACAGTACAGTACAGTAAAGTATGGAACAGTACAGTTCAGCTTTCTAAAATAGCAAATTAAAGCTACAATAACCGTGAAAAAATCAGTTTAAACATGTATCAAAGTTTTATTTATTTACGTACAGGCCTGACACCTCTTATGTACATGATTATGGAGGGAAACTTCATGTACACTCCAGCATAAGAAGACCTGAGACATCTCCAAATATTACAGATATGAGTAATCAGTAAGTACTATCTATTCAGATAAGTTAAATATTTGTTAGGTATTTAAATACATTTTATTTGTTTTATAGAATTATTGTGCACTTTATCATTCAGACTCAGTTCATGCTAAATTTCATTATAGCACTGCTATGAATTATGACTTAAATCTTCTCTGCATCTCAAAGACCTTTTTTGTCCCTCTCTAAATCCACGAACAAATTAAAATCTAAACTTTAAAACGAGAAATTTCTTGACCAAAATGGTCAAAATGATCTTAAAACAGTTAAATATTATTCTTGAAATATTTACGATTACTTATCTGTCGGGAAGTTTGTCGTATTTATGGCTGGGAAAAAATTCGTAAAAAATCAGAAGTTTTCAAAATTAACGTTTAGTTATAAGTGTTAAAAACGAACAGAAGCACAGTTTTCTTGTCTGGTAAGGTTTATATAACTATACACTATAATGATCATTTCAAGCATTGGCTTTTTGTTCTGATAAAATAGTTTTAAATAAGAATATGATTAACTATTTAATTAATGTTTAGGTTGCTAATGAACTCTCGCCGAAGTCCACTGATAAACTCTAGTGAATTTTCACCCGCAGAATGGAATATTACAAATATCAACAGCTACAAAAAGTAATTCTTTATAAAAGAATAGTTTAAATTTGAAATTATATAAAAGGTTGTAGTGTGGATATCGATGCTTGAGCTTTTGTTAATCTACAGATTAATTTAATCTTTACTTGATATCCAACACAGATCAACAGTTCACAGCTCAAAACTTCAGAATGGTGGATATCGAGACTAACTTAATCTTGAACTTGTATCCTGAAAAGTGTATAAAATTCAACCAATCAGAGTCGTGTATAAGAAGCCGATAAATTTGAAATTTTCCGCGCCATTTAAGATTAAAAAGTCGGTTTTTGATTTTTCTCTACTATATCCAAGAAAGAATGGTTTAAGAAGACGATCAAAAGTTTGTCCCTTGGATACTCAGATTAAGTAATCGGGATTTAGGATATATTATTCTAAAGTGTTTGGAGCTGGGAACTTTTTAATGGTGGAAATCGGGATTAATGCTTTATCTCCTCTTTTTCTTTAATCTCCAGATATAAGAATGCTTTTTTTCCTCTTGCTATTAATCTCCAGATTAATTAACCGATCGGGATTAAGGATATCTCATTCCAAAGTTTTCAGCTCAGATCAAATAGCTTTAAAGTCAATACGGCTCTAGAGAAAAGGCAGGAAAAATATCTTGTAAAATCAAACAAACAAAATTAGAATTAATGGTACTGTCGTTGTAAATTTCAAGTTCATTTAGAGTGGGTATACCCGATTCACAATAGTACTCCTTAAAACTTCCGATCCATGTGAAAAATATTGTCGTTTTTTTATCTCGAAAAGTGTTTGGATTTGAATACATACATACAAATTTAACCATTTTTCTTTATACACGTTCTCAGATGGAAAACAAGAAAGAAAAACAATCTATTTTATAATAATTAAATAAAAAAAATTTTGAATTCAATTTAATTACTTTTTAGAGCTGATGTAATTCGACAAAAGGCTGAAGCTGTGAGAAGCAAAGCAAACCAACTTATAGAGGAGCATGCAGACTATACAAGGTATACCTAGATATCTATAAAGGAGCATGCAGACTATACAAGGTATATCTAGGTATCTATAGAGGAGCATGCAGACTATACAAGGTATACCTAGGTATCTTATAGAGGAGCATGCAGACTATACAAGGTATACCTAGGTATCTTATAGAGGAGCATGCAGACTATGCAAGGTATACCTAGGTATCTATAAAGGAGCATGCAGACTATACAAGGTATAACTAGGTATATATAGAGGAGCATGCAGACTATACAAGGTATAACTAGGTATATATAGAGGAGCATGCAGACTATAAAAGGTATAACTAGGTATCTTACAGAGGAGCTTGCAGACTATACAAGTATAACTAGGTATCTTATAGAGGAGCATGCAGACTATACAAAGTTTAACTACTACCTAACCTACTATCCAATCTACCTACCCTACCTAACCTACCTAACTTACCTAACCTACCTAACCTACCTGACCTCAATAACATACCTAACCTACCTAATTTTCTGAACCTACCTAACCTACCTAATTTTCTGAACCTACCTAACCTACCTAACCTACCTACCTACCTAACCTACCTAACCTACCTAACCTTTTCTGAACCTACCTAACCTACCTAATTTTCTGAACCTACCTAACCTACCTAACCTACCTAACCTACCTAACCTACCTAACCTACCTAACCTACCTAACCTACCTACCTACCTATCCTACCTACCTAGGAAAGGGGGTGAGCAGGCAAGGTATAGACTAGGAGAACGGATGAAGGATGTAATATTCTGGCGGGGAGAACTTCAGCAGGAGATTTCAGTTCTCAGGTATTTATGGACACTTGGACACTAGAACCTGGACACCACTAGGAAGGACACTAGAACACTAGAACACTAGTACTCTAGAACACTAGAACACTAGGACACTAGGACACTAGGACACTAGGACACTAGAACACTAGGACACTAGGACACCAATAAGACCTAGGACACTAAGACACTAGGACACTAGGACACTAGGACACTAGGACACTAGGACACTAGGACACTAGGACACTAGGACACTAGTACACTAGGACACTATGACACCAATAAGACACTAGGACACTAAGGCACTAGGACACTAGGACACTAGTACACTAGGACACTAGGACACTAGGACACTTGGACACTAGGACACTAGGAAACTAGGACACTAGAACACTATTTTTGTAAACTATTTTTGGACCGTTTTCTGCCCTGACTTTGCTGGGTGAATAAAGAAAGTTTGTCCTTGTTACATCTGATTTAGTAGTTTGTTTACATTTAGTTTTATTGTGTTCTGATCCAAAAAAAAACCGTCCAATACTAGTCTAGACCTTTTATTACTTTATAGAGTTTAAAGGGTATAATACAATTAGAAACAGAAAACTTACTTTATAGAGTTTAAAGGGTATAATACAATGAGAAACAGGAAACTTACTTTATAGAGTTTAAAGGGTATAATACAATGGGAAACAGAAAACTTACTTTATAGAGTTTAAAGGGTATAATACAATGAGAAACAGAAAACTTACTTTATAGAGTTTAAAGGGTATACTACAATGAGAAACAGAAAACTTACTTTATAGAGTTTAAAGGGTATAATACAATGAGAAACAGAAAACTTACTTTATAGAGTTTAAAGGGTATAATACAATGGGAAACAGAAAACATACTTTATAGAGTTTAAAGGGTATAATACAATGAGAAACAGAAAACTTACTTTATTGAGTTTAAAGGGTATAATACAATTAGAAACAGAAAACATACTTTATAGAGTTTAAAGGGTATAATATAATGAGAAACAGAAAACTTACTTTATAGAGATTAAAGGGTATAATACAATGAGAAACAGAAAACTTACTTTATTGAGTTGAAAGGGTATAATACAATGAGAAACAGAAAACTCCGGAGGAAGACCACTTTAGGCTCAATGTATGAACATATTCCATTGAACATGAGACACAGCAACAAGCCTGTTTTACTTAATAAGTGATTTAATAGGTTACTAGTAAAACTATTTGCTTTGTAACAACATCAAATACAAAGTATTGCTTCTAAGTCGTCTTCCTATTCCAGAATTTTAAGGTTTTCACCGTTTTCTCAAATGAAATGTTCGCGAAAAAAATTGAAAGATAGTTTAAGGCTTATATCTAAGTGAATTCTATATCGATTGCTACTAATTTTACTTATGAAACGACTTATACCAAAGAGCGCAGTTGCATTATTTTACCTAGACTATAGATCATTCAATTCAATTTAAACTAATTATTCAGATATTTAGAGTTATAAATGTTGAATTCAATTCGATGCATTTCTTTGTTGAAAAAATATCAAAATATTTAAAATTTCTTTTTATAAAATGTATTTTGAAAACGATTACTTGGCCCCTAGGTGCTTCTACTTTCGATATTTTAGAGAAATCACTTGAGAGATACACCTAGCGACCAAAAAACCGTCCCCAAAAGTAAATTGTACAGGGTGTCCCAAAAAACATGGGAATTCAGTGACGAATTCGATATCGTCTTTGTTATGAATTAGCATTGTGATACCTAATTTCATAAGCCACAATATTATTATGTCTGCTAGAGTTTATTTTATGAAAAGGGTAAAAGACTGCAAAGATGAGTCTATTATGTCTCCGCAAGATATAAAGTGAAGACGGACATGTTTACTCTGTTTGACATATTTGTATACTGCAATTTTCTTGTTTTACTAAGTACAACTGTATGCAGTCAAAACATAAACAAACAAATTGTGAACATAGCAGACGAAACTCTTACAGATTACGGCTTTCTCAGTAGGTATCACTATACTAAATCAAAGAATTATTTAAAAAGACGATATCGAATTCGTCACTAAATTCCCATGTTTTTTGGGACACCCTGTATGTAAAATAATAAAAAAAAACTATTATGATATTTTAACTGCATAGGAATGCAGCGAATTGAATTCGACTTTTAAAACTTGTAATATCTGAATGATTAATTCTAAATATAATTGAATCATTTACGCTCTGAGTGGATTTGTATGGGTCCTATACTCTTGGGCATAAGACGTTATTAACCAGTGTCTCCTTATAGACGCAACAGATAAAAGTGAAATTAGAAGCAATCGATATCGATTTCAATTCGATATCAGCCTATACCCCCTCTCATGTTTAGCAATTCCCCTAGTTGTACAACATTAATGAGAGAAGTTCTCTCCACTCTCATTCTTTGAGGGTCCCCCTAGTTGTACAACATTATTGCAAGAAGTTCTCTCCCCTCTCATTCTTTTAGGGTCCCCCTAGTTGTACAACATTATTTAAAGAAGTTCTCTCTCCCCTCTCATTCTTTGAGGGTCCCCCTAGTTATACAACATTATTGAGAGAAGTTCTCTCCCCTCTCATTCTTTGAGGGTCCCCCTAGTTGTACAACATTATTGAAAGAAGTTCTCTCCCCTCTAATACCGGAAGCGTTAAAGCAAAGGTTACTGTTATTCTAAACTGTGAGAGAAGAGTAAAGATAAGTATAACAATAAACCCTTCATGATTCAGATATAAAAAGAAACCCATCTCTCGAATACATTCATGTTCTCAAATATACTAAAACACGAAAGAAAATAGCCCTTTTCGTGAAGAAAAACTAAATAGTTCCAACTTCCACCTTTGTAAACTGATTTCTACTATCCATTTGTAGAAGGGAGGGTAAAAATTCTTAATGAAAATAGAAAAAAATTTCAAGATTTTTCAAATTATTCTACAGTTTTCAGGGGGGGGGGGGATACCTGCTTCCTCCCCCCGCTCCTTGTATAATCCCGTGATCCAAAGTGGTTTTATTAACCCCTGTAGATTTGAAAGATTAATTATCATGTTTGAACTATATATAATATATACATATATATAAATATAATGTACATACAATATAGACAGATATATTAGTCTAAAGATCCTATTGTTGACGGGAGCCAGTATCTATCTATCTATCTATATATCTATCTATCTATATATCTATCTATCTATATATCTATCTATCTATCTATCCATATATGTATCTATCTATATATCTATATATCTGCAGTAAATGCCGTACTCGTAAAACTGCTTCCAGACCTTTACCAATCCAGGTACAACTCGTCAGTTATCAAAGCCAAGCCAATGGACACGATCTCGTCAGCTATCAATGTCAACAGGGACACAAGCTCAGCTATCAATGTCATCACGGACACGAGCTCTTAAACGATCAATACCAAACCAATGTTTCAACGAGGACAACAATTACTTTATCACCGTAATGAAAGCGGAGTATCTTCCAACTAATGTGTATTTATATATTTATGTTACATATTAAGTTTAACATACATATTTGCAAGATTAGTGCAGATATGTATAAGCATATTTAAGCCAGTTAATGACTTAGTTATAAGTTAATTACAACAGGTTTTCACGCATTTACAGACATAGCTAGGCTAGGTTAATCACAATACAAGTTTTTGCGTAGTTAATGATAAGCGCATTTGGATTTAAAGACAATGCACAACGTAATATATCTAGGTATCTTTAGGTTAACAAATATAGGGATTGCTGTATTTATTACATATCTATCTATCTATATATATATATATATATATATATATTAATCTATTTATCTATCTGTATATCTATCTATCTACTATCTATCTACTATCTATCTATATATCTATATCTATATATCTATCCATTAGCCTCTGTTCCAAGTCTTCTGATTTATTATTTAAGTATTCATATATGGGTAACATACAAGCTATCATACAAGCTTAAAACCATGCACAAACACAACTAACTTTGATTTGAGTCACGGAAGTTCGTAGTAAGATTTTGACTCCACTGGAAACCACCGGAGGGAATTCTTTTTCACTGGAGGGGTTTGAAAAAATGCTTTTTACAATTATAAACCCCTTGGAAGGATAACTGAATCCCTCCAGTGGAATTATAACCCCCCAGTAAGGATAACTGAATCCCTCCAGTAGAATTATAAACCCCAATCGAAATCTTACTACGAACTTCTTTGAGTCCTTTGATTTCTATTTTTGTACTACGTATATATTTATATACCTTTATAAATACTTTTACAAATGTAAATAATATCATATTGTAATGTATTTTGAATGAACTCCAAATGCAAAATAAAGAAACCCATTTTGAATATGACTTCTACGTGCAATATAGACTAGAGAACAAAAAGTGTTTGCGCGAAACAAAAAAAAAACTGTTTTACACTTGGAGTTGGAAAATTCACAGATTGTTGCGACATTTTAACTGTTGATCCTACTCCATACCCCCTATACTTGAAAGCGGTCATGTATGGAATGTACGGTATATAAATGATGCATTATTAACACCCTCCCTCTGCCTAATGTGTATGCAAGGCTCGGCGGTGAAGATAAAGGGTTTAATTCTATTGTTTATTTGAAAACAATGAGGAAAAAGTTAGAAGCATTCAATAACCCATCATTTAAAGGGTATAATACAATGAGAAACAGAAAACTTACTTTATAGAGTTNAGGCCCTTTCTCCAACTTTCACCTTCATTCCCCCCCTTACCCCCTCCTAAACCTTTTCTTCAGATTAAAAACCCCTTCACAAATATTCCTATTCACAGCAAATTTTAAGTCATAAAACATTTAATCCTTCCATCAAAAAGTTTTTTTTTGATTTCTTTAAAATATTTTATGAATCTATTGTGTACTTTATCATTTTTACTCACTTCATCTTGAATTTCATAATGAAGTAATCATCGTGCTATAATGTTAAAATAGCTGTATAGTATAGCACGTGTGCTATAAAGTTTTGATTGGTTTCCGGATTTTCTCAAAAAATTTGAGGATATTTCCAAAATATGTTTTTCAATTGAACTAAAAAAAATTGAAATAAACTTTTTATTTCGACTTCTGCTTTGTTTCAAAGCTTATTAGATCTAGAAAAAGCCATTGAAATAAGACAAGTAAACAAACGTTTTATAAAATTACCAATAGCACTGTTATTTTGGTTCGCAGTGTTATGAAGTTTTTGGACAGTAATTTTCTCTTTATCGATAGACGATACTCATCGATACCCGATGTCAGTACAAACTGGGACTGGAAAGGTTGACCCGGCTCGGAAATTCAAATGTACTATGGCTGCCCGTGGTCAAGATCAAATCTTAACAATCCAAGGTGTTCAGAGCTTTACCAAAGGAAAACTGCAATATACAGTGAGACCCATAATACTTTGGAATTGGAACTGGACAAAAAGTTTTTTTTTGTTTTGTTATCTTTGTAATTGGTTATCTAGGAGTATGACTGAGACCCTATCTGAAAGTAGAAGAAATGTAGATCATGCTCTGGCACAATCTGAACGTCCTCTCAGGGTATACACTAAATGCAAGTAAGAAATTCCTATTTGATGCAGTACATTCGTTGCACTGTCCCGTTGTACTGTTTACATTCTATAGTGTGGTTTGATATTGGTGATGAAAGATGCATTTGAACTTATCTAATTTTTTATTTCTTCCTTTAAAAGTACTTTAAAAGTAAAACGGTAATTGTGCTGTGCACAGTACAATGCATTATTACTGTGCTTCATGCTCACTGGAATTTTAAGAATCATAACATGCATTAAAAAAAATCAAAAGATGTTATAGTTCGCCTAAAATGATATCACAAAATCTAAACAAAAGATATGTTTTGTCCAGGGAGTTACGAGAGAAAAGGTTGGGTATAGAGCTGGTAAAAGATTCAGTTGAACTCAGTTTACAAACAGAATTGGAGATTATCAAACATCATCAAGATGTTTTCAAACAGATATTAAAAGAGGTTGATGTTTTTTATTAATTTACTATTTAGAATATATAAAATTTGTGTTTAAAACATTTCATTAAGAAATGTATTGCCTGAAATAATCTGTTAGAAGAACATTTTATTTAAAATCAAGAACAATATGTTTAAATTCAGAGCATTTTGTTCAAAATTAAGAATATTTTGTTTCATATAAAGAAATTTTGCTTAAATAAAAAAAAATTTGTTCAAAATTAATATTATTTTGTTGAAAATAAAGAAATTTTGTTTAAATAAAAAAGTTGTTCAAAATTAAGAACGTTTTTTTCAAAATTGAGAATATTTTGTGCAAAATTTTTTAAAAAATTGTTTAAAATTAAGAGCAATTTGTTCAAAATTTAAACATTTTTTTTAAATTAAGCATGGCTGTAAAAACATAACCTGATGGTTTTTATTATTTGTTACGAAATGTTGATTAATTCAGTGTACTGATCAAATTGAGAAAAATACTGATATGGTTCAACGTTTGACCAGTGATCTAAACAATAAAGAACAAGCTATTAGGTAATATATTGATTATGATATATAAAATAATAATATAGTATAATAAATATTAATTATATGAAATAGTTAAAGGATGAAAATATGTGGTAATTTTTCAATGAAAATGTTCAGAGATAAATTATGCACCAAACCTGAAGGTTTCTTAAAAATAATATAACTTAGATTTTTGCTTTTTTTAGTTTAATGGAAAGGGAAAATAAAATTCGTCAAAATATATCATTGCACGGGTATCACATATCCGTCTTAAAAAAAATATTGGCATAATATTGTTTTTATAATATTAAAAATTAATCAATGATCTATGATTTTTCGGTAATTACTGATTTTAGAAATAGTAATTTCCACCTTATATTCATATTGTTGTATATAAGTTATAAAATTAAAAACCAAGAAAAAATGTTCCAATTGCTATGAAATCTATGACTAAATGTTGTTAAGTATTGACCAAGCAACCGTGGATTTGGCTATAACTGCTAAGGGTCCAACTCCTGCACTTTCTAACAGAAACAAGGACCAAGGTTTTAAAGGCAGGGTAAGTTAATACATAAACTAATTATTCGCCCCAAACATTCATTTTCTAATCCTTATATCTTTGCATCCTGGTTTTGTCACGTGTTTAAAAAGAGAAATCGGTTGCTAAACTTAATTTGTACTTGTTTCCTGAACGTCAACCCTCGCTGAACCGGAGGTGGTGCAGTGGCCCAAGTTGTTCAGGGATTTTACTTGTCCCCCCATGGAAGAATTATATATGGTTAGAATTAAACAAATATCAGAATTTACAAATTTTGGAAATCCGCAATTGAAAAAAGATAAATCCGCAAAATTACAATTGTTTAATAATGTGTACATTAATAACCAGAAAACTCTGGAATAGTTAGACGACTGTTAGACTCATGCAATTTTAGATTTAAAATAGTCCATTGAAAATTGAAAAGAAAAATCTGCTTACAATTGTTAAATAATGCAAAGTAAAAACCAGAAAACTCTGGAATAGAAAGACGACGTTTAGACTTAAGTTTAGATTTGCAATAGTCCATTGAGCATGAGCAGTGAGCACAAACTATTTCAATTTGAAAAGAGATTTTTAAACTTTTAGTAAATAATTGCTTTGTAACAACATCAAATGCACGTAAATGCTGCTTTTGTAATGCTAAAACTCCTCTTCTCTTTGTTATTGAAATATCTAGAGTGCATTATTTGCATAAACCTTAAACCATGGGTGCAATTGATTGATCTCAACTGTCCCTAAGATTTACATCAGGCTTGTATTTGATAGAAGAATATAATTATTACACTTTTAAGTCATTTTTCTATTCCATAGTTTTTAACTTTAGATCGTTTTTAAACAAATCCCAACCCTACTCTCTAGCACTAGAATTATATCATTTTCTTCTCAATATATTTCGCCAAAAACTTTTGCATCATCAAGAGTTCGTCCTATAAAATAACAGATATAAGCAAAAATTTAAAAAAAAATAATACAAACAAAGCAACTCAGATAAACAAAGAAGAGAACAAAAATAAAAATTTTTTTATGTAATAAGGAATTTTTCAAAATGAATATTGTCATATAATATAAAACTTAAAAGAAAAATTAGAAAACCGTACCTTACTCTTTTGAAGAGCATTGAATGACTGAAAAGGATTGACTAGTTTATGGGCGTATGTGGTGGGGGGAGGGGGGATGTTGAAGGGGGTAGAATTCATCAAGTTTTCAAGTTCTCATTCACGTGGATTTACCGGTTCTGTCAATATTTCAGAAAGCTGTGACTTTCGATCACAATTTGACCCATTGGACATAATTTTTTGTCTTTTTCTAAAAAATTTTTTGTCGGCAAATACATTTTAAAGGAATAAGAATAGAATAAAATACGCGTAAGTTTATAGATTGTTGAATTATAGACCGGGGTGCACTGTATATTGTTTTTTTATTTTATATATTTATTTTCAGGGACCCAACGGCAAGAAGGAGATTAAGTCCGAACAAAGAACTGAAGTTCCAAATAGAAAAATTCAACAGTGGTCAAAGAACTCTCAGCAGAGCTTACAGATATCTCTCAGTAAATTGTTTATTTAAGGGACTGTGAACGTATTTTGAAGAGGCATGTTCGATTCCTACGTCTTTGAACCTTTTGTCTGATCAAGGATTAATGACAATTTGTTTGTTTGTTTAGCATTTCGATGAGACAATGAAGGCTTATGTTATAATCAAGATATCATTTTCATTTTTAATTGGAATTAATTGTTATTCAGATTACAGGACCGAATTGGGAATTGGACATGCTACTTTTTTTCTTAATTGAGTGCGGCACTAGATGCCGCACTATATGCGGCACTAGATGTTGCACTAGATGCTGTACTGGATGCGGCACTATATGCAGCATAATATGCGGCACTATATGCGGCACTATATGCGGCACTATATGCGGCACTAGATGCTGCACTATATGCTACACTATATGCGGCACTAGATGCTGCACTATTTGCGGCACTATATGCGGCACTAGGTTCTGTACTATATGCGGCACTAGATGCTGCACTATATGCGGCACTAGATGCGGCACTAGATGCTGTACTAGATGCAGCACTTGATGCTGCACTAGATGCGGCACTAGATGCGGCACTAGATTCGGCACTAGATGCTGCACTAAATGCGGCACTAGATGCGGCACTATATGCTGCACTAGATGTGGCACTAGATGCGCCACTAAATGCAGCACTGGATGCTGCACTATATGTGGCACTAGATGCTGCACTAGATTCTGCACTTTATGCGGCACTAGATGCTGCACTATATGCGGCACTAGATGCTGCACTATATGCGACACTACTGATGCTGCACTATATGCGACACTATTGATGCTGCACTAGATGTTGCACTAGATGCGGCACTAGATGCTGCACCATTATGCGGCACTAGATGCGGCACTAGATGCTGCACTAGATGCTGCACTAGATGCTGCACTAGATGCGGCACTAGATGCGGCACTAGATGCGGCACTAGATCCTGCACTAGATGCTGCACTATATGCGGCACTAGATGCTGCACTATTTGCGGCACTATATGCGGCACTAGGTTCTGTACTATATGCGGCACTAGATGCAGCACTATATGCGGCACTAGATGCTGCTTTATATGCGGCACTAGATGCTGCACTATATGCGGCACTAGATGTGGCACTAGATGCTGTACTAGATGCGGCACTAGATGCTGCACTAGATGCGGCACTAAATGTGGCACTAGATGCGGCACTAGATGCTGCACTAAATGCAGCACTAGATGCTGCACTGTATGTTGCACTAGATGCTGCACTAGATGCTGCACTATATGTGGCACTAGATGCTGCACTATATGCGGCACTAGATTCTGCACTATATGCGGCACTAGCTGCGGCACTAGCTGCGGCACTAGCTGCGGCACTAGCTGCGGCACTAGATGCTGCACTAGATGTTTCAACTATGTATGTTAACATGCAAGACTGAAAATAACCCAACTCCAGAATTTCTAAATCAGAAACTTATTCTATTTTTTATTCATATAATCACTATTCCATCTAGTGTGTTCAAGGTCCTTGATAATAACCCCGGCCTGATAAGTATTAAAAAAATGTGTTCCCATTTGTTGAAACTGAATATTACCTAAAAATATAATTTTCTTTTGCTCTAATCTCGCTAAACTTATGTAAACTTTTGAATTCTGCTAGATCACGCAGATTTTAGAGTTTAACACAATCAGGTGGCAAAGTTATAGCAATCAGAAAACTTTGGTTTGAGGAAGTTAACCAGTTCCCTTGTTTACGAACCTTTTCTTAAATATTTTATCAAAAATTACAAATATACTTTTTAGACCTTAGATCTGAAACGAGCAAGCTTACTGCCAAAGCTGAAAGCGCTTGTGCACAGGAAATTAATGTTTTATGTAAATAAATGATTCTGATTCAATATTGNTAAATTTATAGATTTGTTCAATTTTAGGTGTGTTAGATGTGTCCAATGACAACAAAACTGATCGGGTTGAAATATTTGCATTGAAACTCACCTGACCCCAGACCCCGAAACTTAAGACAGAGTATGGTAATGAAACCCAGTTTCGGAAACCCAGTTTCATGATAGTGGTCTGGCAGTTTTGAATTTACCAATATTTTTGTCAAGAATTATTATTTAATGGTTTCACTGCAAATGCAAATGCATATACCCCAAAATAACTGAAATTAATTAAAATTGATACCAAAGAAAAACTTTCGATTTCGAAAAGTTTTTGAAAATCCGATCTGAGCTGGAAACTTTAGAATGGTGGATATATAGATCAATGCTTGATCCTCTCTTTTCTTAATCTCGAGACTAACCTAATCTTGTGCTTGTATCCTGAAAAGTGTATTAAATTCAAAAATCAGAGTCGGGTATCAGAATCATGGAAATATGAAATTTTGAGCGCCATTTAAGATTAATAAACAGAAACAGGAGGGACTCTCTAATTTTGAAAAACCGGTTTTTGATTTTTCTGTACCATATCCAAAAAAGAGTGGATTAAGCAAGAAATTAAAAGTGTCCACATTGGATATTTGGATTAAGCAGTTGGGATTAAAGGTATCCTATTCTAAAATTCCCAGCTCAGAAAACCAAAAAATCCTTTACACAAATCCTTCAAAATATGTAAAACTGGAATAAAAATGTGATTATCTGAAAGGCGATAGCTGAGATAAAATCTGCTTGGGAGGGTACTAACCTGTCCTTAGTAAGTAGAGCAAAGGAGCTTGAAGATACACATAAAAGGAAACCTGAATAAATATTCAAAAAAGAAGTTCATTTTAAGAAGTTCATTCATTTCATTTGAAAATTCGCATTGCATTATTAGGCAAATTACAATTGTAAGTATCTCAATAGACAACATTTTTTTATTTTTATTTATTCTTTGTGAATTTAGGATCCAAGGACATTTAGACAATACAGTTCAGGTATCAAGCTATTTAGTATTTATTTATTCAAATCTTTATCTTAAATTGGGATTCGTAATGTAGTTTTAAGTTACCTTTCATTTACATGGCATGTCCAAATTTACAATCTTTGAATCTGTGTCTGGTCAAGAATACACTTTAGTTTAGCAGCGTAAGTTTTCGACTACAGAAACAAGAATAACAATGGCATCGATATTTAGACAAAGTTTTTAAACGTACCGTTGTAAATCGGATATGCCACTCCACAAATTTAGGGCTACTTAAGCTAGGACTGAGCATAGTTTCAAATTTTCTTGAATCAAGATTTTACATAAAGGTGACTTATGCTTTTTCAATTTGCAAACAAAAAAAATATGTGTTTTTTTAGCTTAAAATGAAAACCTGAATTCAAATATTTAAAGATAAACAAGCTTCAAGTTTCATAGTTGCATTTTCTTTTAACTTTTTGGCAAAGGGCAAATTATCTAACCTAGAAACTAAAAAGTTACAACAAGTTCTAATTTTACTAGCCCTTGTGTCTTATCCGTTCTACTCGTACCCTGATGTCAGAGACCTTTAATATTTCAAACTATAAATTCTAATATATATAAAAAGTCTAATTTAAAATATCAACGGTTTACACCATCAGGATGCAACCATATATAGATTAGAAAATTGGAGTTTTTCCTGATATAAAACTGTTTTCTAATTAGGAAATAAAAGATCAAGAGATCCATCTAGAACAATTAAAGTCTTCCATTAAATCTAAACAGAACCCTCTAACTCTTGCCAAGGCAAGATTGGCAATGCGGGCTAGGGTAAGAAACGTTATATATATATATATTGGGTTACCCATAAAGAATGAGGCTTTAAATAAGACTGTATGAATTTTAGCTTGTCTTTTTTTGTGGTTTCCTTAAGCTTGTTTTTTTTCTGTTATTTAGTGTGTCATTTAATTAGAAATTTTCTAAGTATAGTAGGAAAAATTCAGCTTTTAACTAAATAAATTATGATAGTTTTATGTTGCCACTAAAGTCTCATCCTTTCTGGATCATGTTTTTTTATTTTATTTGTTTGTATCCAAAAAATATTAAGACTTTTATGAAAAATTCTTGAATAAAACCAGAAAATCTTTTGTTATCTAAAAATATAAGAAATACTTGAGAAAAAATAAATTCTTTAATTAAATCATTAGAACTATTCTTAAAAATAATCAAAATTATAAAATTAAAAATTGGGCCTCTCTTAGTTACCGGAAGAAGAGGCGTGTATGGATACACCCTATATTGCCCTGCTAGAGGAGGTGGGACAGTTGCAGGTATAGATGTAACATTTGTATCTTATTTTCATAGAATTAATAGAATTTTTTATTTTGTGTTGCAATTTACTAAATCTTATGAATTCAGACACACAAACAAAATTTGAAACCATTTTAAATGTTCCCATGTTTGTAAGCGAAAATAAACCATGAAAAAAGAAAAGAATTTTTTTTAAATCAGTAAGACACACAATTTTTAAAACTAAAAGGGTTAATTTGGTTTTGTATTTCAGGAGAGCATGGATACCTTAGGGGTTGCATTGGAGTATGGACAGGTAACTCCCCCCCCCCCCGGCCACCACCAACGAAAAAAAAAATTTATTTTGTTTATAATTTTATAATTTTAATATATATTAGAAAAATTGACATTAAGCCCGATCTTTTACTAAATATTCCGTTTTGATGACCACTATATATAAGCACTGCAAACCTCACGCTCTTACATAAAAATCGAATAGTATATTTTGCCCATTACTTCTTTCGAACTGAAGCTAGAAACATAGCATTGCATTATTACAGTGTATATAACTAGGGCTAAAAAAAGTATATTTCATTGATGAGGTAAAACCAAGGGCCAAGGCGTTGCGACACTTCAAAGTTGAAGCTATGTTTATCTTTAATGTATAATTTACAGAGTTGTCTATGGAAATCAGCATATAAGTCAAATCCCTTGAAACACAAAATCTTCAAAAAAAAGATTGAATTCATAAATGTTATGTTCCATGTTTAAAATTGGAGTATTTCTTTAAAAGTTGTAAAAATTAACCCCTGAATGGGTATTATGTTCAACAAGTGGCCGTGAGATGGCACTCTAAAAGCCTATCGTAAAAACTTAGCATGCTGTGATCTTGATCTAGTGAAATCAATGTGTCAATATTATACAAATCTTCTTTTCTATTTCTAGTCTTCCCTGAAAGAGTTGCTTGAAGTTAAATTAAGCCTGGAACACGATCTATTCCTCAAAACTAACTCTATCAGTATTGACAGGTTATACTTTTTAACATTTAGGTTTTTGCTGCTTTCTTAATTGAAATAATCAAACACGAACATTTCATAGAGATAAAAAAGGTTCAGCAAAAAAAAATAAAACAATTGGATAAAAATATCTTTAATTCCACGAAGCAATTAACGCTTTTTTTCATGAAGAAATACAAATTTAAGTTTCACATAAAATTTATGAGAAAAATTTAATTATCAGCATTTTCATTTAGCAATGTTTGTTTTAGGATAGGTTTTCGGTACATAAAAAAATAAAATTTATCTAGCATGGATATGACAAAATATTATAGAACACTTTTTAATATGAATATATCAAAAAATTGTTAATAAAAACATTCTTAGGTAGTTAAAAAAAAGGAAAGATATTTGATAAAAAATATATTTATGATATTTTTATTTTTTAGAAAGCAGTGTTTGCCTCTTCGAGCCGAGTTTCCTTTTCACCTTTGGTGTGGGTGCAGTAAATGTAAATCATGCAGAACATCACTTTACTGCAGAACTCATGTTTGTAAGAAGGTTTAAACTCTACAGAACATCACTTTACTGCAGAACTCATGTTTGTAAGAAGGTTTAAACTCTACAGAACATACATAAACTGCAGAGCTCATGTTTGTAAGAAGGTTTAAACTCTACAGAACATACATAAACTGCAGAGCTCATGTTTGTAAGAAGGTTTAAACTCTACAAAACATCACTTTACTGCAGAACTCATGTTTGTAAGAAGGTTTAAACTCTACAAAACATCACTTTACTGCAAACTCGTGTTTGTAAGAAGGTTTAAAGTCTACAGAACATACATAAACTGCGGAACTCATGTTTGTAAGAAGGTTTAAACTCTGCAGAACATACATAAACTGCAGAACTCATGTTTGTAAGAATGTTTAGAATTTACAGAACATACAAAAACTGCAGAACAAATGTTTGTAAGAAGGTTTAAACTCTACAGAACATACATAAACTACGGAACTCATGTTTGTAAGAAGGTTTAAACTCTACAGAACATTCATAAACTGCAGAACGAATGTTTGTAAGAAGGTTTAAACTCTACAGAACATTCATAAACTGCAGAACAAATGTTTGTAAGAAGGTTTAAACTCTACAGAACATATATAAAATGCAGAACTCATGTTTGTAAGAAGGTTTAAACTCTACAGAACATACATAAACTGCAGAGCTCATGTTTGTAGGAAGGTTTAAACTCTACAGAACATATATAAACTGCAGAACTCATGTTTGTAAGAAGGTTTAAACTCTACAGAACATACATAAACTGCAGAGCTCATGTTTGTAAGAAGGTTTAAACTCTACACAACATTCATAAACTGCAGAACAAATGTTTGTAAGAAGGTTTAAACTCTACAGAATATACATAAACTGCAGAGCTCATGTTTGTAAGAAGATTTAAACTCTACAGAACATACATAAACAGCAGAACTCATGTTTGTAATTGTAAGAAGGTTAAACTCTACAGAACATACATAAACTGCAAAACTCATGTTTGTAAGAAGGTTTAAGTTCTTCAGAACATAAATAAACTGCAGAGCACATGTAAGAAAGTTTAAATTCTGCAGAACATACCTGGTTTCTATGAAAAAATAACCTTTTTTTTGTTAAATTATAGTTATTTCTATTTTTCTGTGTTCTGGCTAGAATTTAATATTTTCTTAGAAAAGGGGTTATAGGGGTTCTTTATCTTCATTCAAACGAATCGTTTAAAGTGTCAGCTGTTTTAGTATATTTTGTCAAAACATAAAAGTGAGGAAACCCTTTTGTATCTATTAAAATGTGAGATTACATAAAATCAAAAGATGAATAAAATCAATAACCTTGCCTTTTAAAGTTTTTTTCTAAGTATGGTTTTGAAAATTGTCAAAAAACATAAATATCTGCATTATATTAATAGATTCAAGTGTAGGGTGTCTCTAAAAACATATACATATGCATATATATTAATAGATTTACGTCTAGGGTGTCTCTAAAAACATAAATATCTGCATTATATTAATAGATTCATGTGTAGGGTGTCTCTAAAAACATAAATATATGCATATATATTAATAGATGTACGTCTAGGGTGTCTCTAAAAACATAAATATCTGCATATATATTAATAGATTCATGTGTAGGGTGTCTCTAAAAAACATAAATATATGCATATATATTAATAGATTTACGTCTAGGGTGTCTCGAAAACATAAATATCCGCATATATTAAGAGATTCAAGTCTAGGGAGTCTTTAAAAACATAAATATATGCATATATATTAATAGATTTACGTGTAGGGTGTCTCTAAAACATAAATATTTGCATATATATTAATAGATTCATGTGTAGGGTGTCTCTAAAAACATAAATATCTGCATATAAATTAATAGATTTACGTGTAAGGTGTCTCTAAAACATAAATATCCGCATTTATATTAATAGATTCATGTGTAGCGTGTCTCTAAAAACATAAATATCTGCATATATATTAATAGATTCATGTATAGGGTGTCGCTAAAAACATAAATATCTGCATATATATTAATAGATTTACGTGTAGGGTGTCTCTAAAACATAAATATCCGCATATATATTTATAGGTTTACGTGTAGGGTGTGTCTTAAAACATAAATATATGCATATATATTAATAGATTTACGTGTAGGGTGTCTCTAAAACATAAATATTTGCACATATATTAATAGATTCATGTGTAGGGTGTCTCTAAAAACATAAATATCTGCATATAAATTAATAGGTTTACGTGTAGGGTGTCTCTAAAAACATAAATATCTGTATATATATTAATAGATTCATGTGTAGGGTGTCTCTAAAAAACAGTAGTTAATGCCATAAGCCTCAACAAAAAATGTCTGATCTGATGAATGTACAGTTTATGATATTCTCTTATGGCAAATTTGTTTGCAGAGAGATTTATGCAAAATTTTTAGTTTTCAACAGCTTTTTGAAATTACGAATATTCTTTCGCTTAACATTTCTTTTCTAGTTTCTATTTAGTCAAAATAAACACCTTGATAATGTGAATTAACAAATTGTTTAATATCAAAATTGATAAGGAAAAGTTTAAATCATAGATAAAGATAGATTGCGCATAAGACGACATTTTTCATCTTGAAAGATATAAATGTACAGAGATGTTTTAAAGATATTCCTATTTTATAGATTAACTAGGTCGGTTGTGAACATTGGCTGTACTTATGTCATTGAGTGCATGTGGTGTACATGAGATCTGTAGAGAAAAATTTAAGTTAGTTTAGTCCTTCTCATGTCCTTCTTCAGTTCTCGTCAATATGATATATTGCTCAGTGAAATATTGTTGTTCAAATATTTCCATTCCCGGAGTTATTTTACACTCTATTATGAAATCCATTAAAACGCCAAACCACCCCGCTTATCATTGAAGTACACTTTGACCCCTAGGAGTATGAGTTCGCGGACTGTACAATTCTTGGTGATTTGCGTACATAAGCTATCTATGTTTATTTATTTATCTATGGTTTAAATGCAATAGATGATTTTCGAAACTGCAAACGTGAAAATAGGAATTGAGTCTTTTACACAAACTCAAATTTCATAATCCCTATATCTTTGCGCCTTATGGTTTAAACTTTTGATATTTTAAAATTGGACAACTTGCATTCTAACACTATTCATAGTTTGAATTCATAGTCTTCAACAATTGGGTTCAAAGAAATAGTAATTAGAAAATCAGAGTTTGTGGCAAAGACTCAATTCCTTTGTACACTAACTTGACAAGAGATTTTTTGTCTGAATTTGTGGAAAAATTTACTAGTTTTTTTTTAAATAAAAAAATGAAGTTTCTGGTATCAATATTGTTTTCTTGAAGACACACCGTGTAGCACATACTGTAAATTGTATCCAGTATATAGATATGTTTGTATTGTGAAATCTGGCGGAAATGAGATTATATTTAGATATTTATGCACATCATCTATTTCTTTACACATATTTATACAATACTCGGTTTACAGATTATTTCGCGCCTTTTTTCTTGTAGTACATCACAAATATGTTCTTTTTATTTGACGAAATTAAAAAATATTCGAAAAATATATGGCCGTTTGGTTCAGCTGTTTTGAGGTTTGTTGTATACAAACAAATAAATTAATAACAAAACAAGCTATATAAACTATATACTAAATATAAAGTAAAAAAGACACATTCTACAACAACATAACATTTTTTATAAAATTTTAAGGAATATTATTGAAGGCTAACCCTAGATATTTACTTATTCGTTGATCTCTTTACTAAAATGAAGTTGTTTTTATGTCCAACCTATACATTTATATGTTACTTTATGATGCCTAATTCTCCCTTGATATTATTTTAATAAACCCCTGCTGGTAGACGGGTAAAAGGAGGGAAAGAAGGCCATCCACGACAATTTCCCTTTCGAGCCACATTCTCCTCATTTTATTGTCCGAGCCACCTCGAAATCCTAGTTCAAGTGTTCCAATTCGTCCTATCCTTGCGCAGATGTTTTTTAATATCTGGCCATGTTATGGCAGAGATAAAATATTGAATTTTTATAAATCGATCAAAATAGCTTCAATTAAATAAAAGTTCATCAAAATGTTTCCCTTTTTTACTCGCATTTTCAAAATACCTAATATAAAATACCGCGAGTTATTCTAAGAACTTTAATCTTTTGTTGTTAGTTATATCGAAAACATAAAATTATTTTTGGTGGTTCTATGGGATATGGCAGGGGTAAAACAAATATTTAATGTAAGGCATTACATAGTTAGAAGGAATTTAATACTAATATGTTGCAAGCATTGCAATATTTTAGTCTAACCATTTCTTATGCCCTAACGTCGCCAGATTTTTAAAAAATAGTTTTATCTTAACGGATTGGACACTTAAAACCATAATAATGGAAGGACAAGGATTTTGAAGATGGCTCGGACGAGAAAATGAGGAGAATGTGGTTCAGACGAGAAGTTGTTGTGGCTAGCCTTCCTCCCCTCGGAAGAGTCTACTGCAGGCAAAACAATGACTCGACAAATTGGACAAAAACAAAACCAAGGATGGAGGGGGGGGGGGGGCAACATAGCCTAATACAAGATAATTATATCAAACTAGCTTTGGAACCCAGCCCTACCAAGGTTGCTAAAAATTACTCCCGCCGTTTACCCGCACTTGAACGATTTTACCGGGAAACTAAATTTTCTCTATAAAAGTCGACCCACTCAATTTAGAATCTCAAAATCACACTAAGAACATTACTGTGGGTCTCCCGAGTTCCACAATTAAAATTTTTGGTAAATCGGTCCAAGGGTTCCCTGAAGTAAATCCCCTACTCCATTACAAATTCTCGAAACGTATCTATCCAACCAGTCCGCTAACAAAGTCAATCAGGACACAGTCCACACGGGTACAATCCCGCGATCTTGTAGCTATCAAACAAGCTATACATCGATCCCAAATGATGGGGACAATTCAAGGCTCTAAATGTCCCTCAAAGACACAAGCCTAGATATTAATAAGCTAGCTATATATTGATCCCAAATGATGGGCACGATTCAACTGACTTTATTTAGATATCTTATATTACAAGTTAATGTGAATTGACGTACTTACACACTTACGTCGTTATCTATATCTCATGATTACGACCATCATATTACGCATTTACCGCACATTTAAAGTTTAATGTACATATTTATAAGATTAGCGAGGACAGATTTAACGGGGTTAAGCAATCTCCACATATGCTTACAACGTAATTTAAGTTGAATGTACTTATATATTTAAAGAATTAACATGGATATAATTTCAGTTAATCTAATTATGTTTTAATCATATTACGTTATAGATCATGTTTAATCTATCTAGGTATGCTCAGGTTAATAAATATGGGGATTGATATGATACTTGCTACATCCCAAGTTATGATCGGACAAACAAACAAACAAACAGAGATCACAACTTTATATATACATATATATTTTGGGTCTTTATTACAGGAATACAGGGGAAGAAAGTTTCAAAGTGGGATAGAGTTTCTGGATTGGAACATAAGGATGGTTTAAAATATGCATCACCTGAAATCATCGAAAATTTTTCTTTCTGTTTTTTTTTGTAAAATTTTATTAACTGTACAGTGAGACCTTGCATTTTAAATCTTGGCGTGTCGATTCTTAACTAAAGATAGAATTGAGAAAAATTTATTAGAAGATTTAATTTAAGAACTATAATAAAGCTATTCTATAAGAATAATCACGAAACCTTCCTTTTTCGGAATTTACATTTAAAAAGATTCGCAACAAGATGTTTTGTGAGAAAGAGAGAAAGAGGAGGTGGGTTAATATGATGAAAGTAAAAAACTTTAATGTCTGGACACTTTTTAAGGGGGTTCTTCAATATGAAAGAGTAAAAACCNGGGGGGGGGAGGAAGGAAGGTTAGGAGGATTTTGCACAAAAGCAAGCCTTTACACCACGAATTAAAAAAACATTTAGTATATATGAACGTGCTGAGGGAGGCTAAAAAATTAAAAGCGAAAGGGATTGTTTGCAAAATACAAAAAATGTGCCATTTACCAAGTTGAAATAAAATAAAAACTTGGCCATTTCCTTTAATTTTTGGATCCTCTGATAAGATTTATATTATATATGATAGCTGAAATGGCCGTGGAAAAGAAATTTTAAAATAGAAATTTTGAAAAAAAATAAAAATTTTGAAAAAAAATGGAAAAAAATTATTTGATTTTTTTTAACCTATAACACCCATGAGTGTCCCCAAAAAATGGCAGCCCAATCGTTCCAGCCGTTTGGCCGGCTATACCCAACATATATATATATACAAATGTCTTGTTTTATTACATAGATATTATTTGCAAGCACTCCTTTATTGCAAATAATCATGATGATCTTAGGGCAGGTAGGGGGTCTACCAATAAAAAGGAAGGGTTGTCTACCAAAGGTTAAAGATAAATAAAAAAATCAAACATCTAAGTACGATCTTTACGGGACATTTTATAGGTTGAAGTAACAGACAAGAAAAAAAACATCAGATTGGCACAACAAATCGTTTCAAAATTATATTCAAATATTTTTTAAGTAGTTGAAAGCATGAAATTACGTATTTTAAAAAAAACAGTTCAGACAAAAACCATATGTTAAAAACCTAAAAAAAATGTTAAAAAGAAAGTGAGAATTTTAGGGACCCTTCATTGACTGAGAGATTTACAACGATACTCTAAAAAACTTTATCTGATCAAGTATGAACTAGGTACACATTACACATCTTTGAAAATGTGAATTAAAAGTGAATTGTGAATTTATGTTGCGAGGCCGAGAATATTATTAGAAATACAGCTAATTAAATTATAGATATCCTTGAATTATTAATTAGATCTAGGTGTCAAGGATATACACCATTGTAAATCGGGTTTGCTTTTATTTTTTTTAATGGAGGGTCACTTACAGCGATAACCCCTTTCATTATTATTTAATGCTATAGAAAAATGTGATAATAAATATTTATTATTATCTTTGTTATATGAAAGAGATAAAGCATATTTAAGAAGACCAGCTTTGTACGAATATAAAAGAAACCAGGACTGTATGGTTTCTTATTCAGAAACTCTACCCCCTTCCTGTCCCCCCCCCCCCATCCTTTAAAGTTCAAATATGAATGGATTTGATGAGCACCCTTTGTAAATTATGCTAAGTAACACAAGCTTTAAAAAACCTTATTCAACGATATAATTTTCAATTTAAAGGGACTGTAAGCATAATTTAAAGTGACATTCCATTTATAAAGAGGCATATCCGATTCACAACGGTACCCTGTTAACCTTTGTCCAGACATTGATGTGGTAGTTAGCTACCCTCATGTGTATAGCTGAAGATTGAGTGCATGGGAGACTTGAGGTTACAGTATTCTCTGTGTACTCCTTGCTATAAGTGCACACTCGAGCAGTTTCTTTGCACTTAAAGGGAGGGTTCGCGAAAAATGAACGGGGGTATATAATCGCTTTCGATCTCTACTAATCTTACTTCTATCTGTTGCGTCTATAAGGAGAAAATTATTAAAAACGACTTTTACTATATAAATTCAGATCGTAAAAAAACAATTTAATTTTAAACAAATCATTCAGATATTACAACCTTTTGTCATCGATTACTTTTCGACGCAATCGTATATAGTGAATATTTCATAGTATTTTTGATTTGTTTTTCATACATGCACTTTAAACGCTGAAATAGTTGGCCGACAGATGTCTCTCCTCTCGATGCTTGAATGATTACACGTGGCAGAGACACCAAGCGGAAAAGTATTACCTTTTTTCAGCTAGAGAAACTAAGATAGCTCTTTCCTCCTTGATAATTCAAAGGTAAAGTGGGTACCTTTGTGAATCAAACATGTTACTTTATAAATGAATGAAGAGGTACTTAAAATTGCGTCACACCCCTTTTTATTGATTTATTTTAGAAATTCGAGATGTATACATTTATATACATTTTTAAATATTTTGAGAATATTCTTTTTTATAAATTGGTATCAACCTGCATGTATTGAGGTATCTTGAACAATCAATTAAAAACTCTAATAAATCATTATAAATCATATCTCTAATATATCATCTAATATAATTATTAGTATATACGCAGGATATCAGGATATCAGGAGAGGAAAATAGGAACTTTTTGTAATTTTATCTCAGCTAAATACATACATGCAACATACCTTGGAGACCTTCAATATATCATGTATTTTGTATTATCCTATTATTAGTCCAGGACTACAGTCAGGAGTCAGGAGTCAGGAGTCAGGAGTCAGGAGTCAGGAGTCAGGAGTCAGGAGTCAGGAGTCAGGAGAGGAGTCAGGAGTCAGGAGTCAGGAGTCAGGAGTCAGGAGTCAGGAGTCAGGAGTCAGGAGTCAGGAGTCTGGAGTCAGGAGTCAGGAGTCAGGAGTCAGAAATCATTTATAGCATATATTGTTTGTATGGATTAATTGAATTAATATAATACTGCTTGATTCTGCTTTACTGCCAGAATTTGGAAAATTAGTAACATTATAAAGTCCTTAAAGTAAGGTTAAAACATGAGAATTAACGGATAAACTCGTGTTTTATATAAACTTCATGAACATATTTAGCATATTTTAAACATGGACGTTTACAAGATACATGAATATCGCATGAATTTACATTTACATTTTTATGTTTACCATACTGCAATTTGGGGGGTATACACATACATATTCCTCTTTTTAATCAAGATTAAAAATAACAAAAAGTTAATTTTAAACAAACAAAAAAAAAATTTAGTCAAACGTTTCTGTAAGAAAAAAAATTACTTTACATAGCTCTGAAATTGAAACTTTTAATGCTACAAAGCGCATTTTAAAAATGTTGTACAGGGTTACCCTCAAAGGATGAAACTGTAAAGACGACCAAAAACTCTAAAAATATGACGATCTTAAGCTTGATTTTTGGTTTCTGGATTCAAATGATCGAGTAATTTAATGGTTTACTAAATAGTTAAGTATACAGAAACCAGTTTGGCCTATAACAAGGAACCCCAAATGCAAGAAAACAGACAAAAAAAATACAATTTTTTGAGATGAACAAACTCTTTTCTCAACTTTAATCTCCACCCTGCCCCCCCCCCCCTTACCTGACTTATCTTAGTTTATTAAACTCTATCAGCATAATAATAATCTGTAATGTTAGTTGGTAGTGTTTAACATCTATATATTATATTACTAACATTAGTAATTATCTCCACACACATACTGTATAATATTATCATTAGGTCGAATAAGAGGGATGTATAATCTTCAAGGAAAATTAGTCTTTTTATTACATAACTTTAAATATTTTGTACTTCGTTTCTGGTAAAAATGTCAAATTTCAAAAGTCTCAAAATTCTGTAAGGTGATAATGCTGTAAATTTATATATATAGAGGGTGTATTATTTACTAACTTTGAAACCCAGCGTTGCCCAGATTACTCATAGTTACTCCGACCGTTTACCCGCACTTGGTCTTAAATAACGATTTCTACTATAAAAAGGTCAACTTAATATCTCAAAACTCAGCTAAGAACATTCCCGTGGTTTTGCCTAGTTCCCCATTCACAACTTGAGGCAAATTAGGGTTCAAGAGTTATGATCGGACATACAAACAAACAGACAAGCAGAGATTACAACTTTATAGATACCAGTGTTATATCTTTTAATTATGAATATCACTAAGATATTGGAATATGCAACTGATTTATTTCGAAAAATGATTTGTGTGTAAAAAATGCCTTACTCCAATAAGTTTCCTTATATAAGTATCAATCCGGATACAATTTTTGGGTATATTCAAGTGTTACAGAGACGTAAATTGCGCTTACTCAGTTTTGAAAGATTTAGCCGGAGAATTTTAATGCTGAAAATTCATTTCGTGCTTAAATCTTGGATTATTCAAATCCATTTCAATTCCATCATCACGATTATAGAATCTTGAATTCAAATATTCAAAAACATTCTTTATTTAGCATTCTGCTTAAACATCACTTTTCACCTTCCCTTCCCCCCTCCCCTCTCCGTAACACTGTTTCACTTCCCTCCTATATAGTATATACCCTATCCTCCATACTATTTTCAACAATATATCCCCCCCCTCCTCCCCCCGGATTAGTTTTGTTGTAATCTGTCCTAACACCCCACCTCCATTCTACCCACCAATCCACTATACGCACAGTAGGACATGTCTTGTTACTTTTATTAATGTCTTGTCATATAAAGCAATAAATTATGCTAAAACATAAACTTTAATAGATGGTTTAAACTCAGCACAGGGCACAGATATACACGAGACTAAAACTTTAGGACAGTTAGTCTCTTAATTCAGCACTCATTTATTTTACTTCTTCTTAACTAAACGTCCTTTATAGTTGTCGATTGAGGGAGCCGTCTAATGAGAGGTCCAAATGTTTCAAAGCCCAAACTATTAAAAGGCAAGATTCACAATTCAGAATAACCTTTGTATCTCGGCACTATATATCTACACCAAAAGTTTGAACCTCTGGATAGATAGATAGTAAGATGAATAGATTAATAATAAAAGTGTAGAACTAACAACTACTGATCATGGATAAAGTCATGTCTATAGTTAGATAACCCATCTATTCAGGGCGCGTACATAGATTAAATACACCTTACACCTAGTAATTGGGTGAGTCATAAATCGGATTAATTATAGATATTCTTTCATTTTTTAATTTTTGCTCCCTCCATATAGAACGACTTTACTCTTCTCATGTCTTTTATGTTCTCCATTTTTAAAACATTTTTCGAAATTCTTACAGAGTTACTATCATTTTCTCTGTTATACTAGTTATTCTCTTAATCTAAAATATCTATAAAATCCTCTATTTTCCTTTCTTGAAAAAAGATTATACAAGAATAAATTGATAATTTAAGTACAAAGTTATATCTTTAATAATCGACAAAATAAAAGTTCTACATCAGATATGGACTAAACTTTAATCTCATTAGCAATCCTGTTCACGACCACATTCCTGTTTCTGTTGAAGGAGTGCACCTTCGGCCAGACGAACAGGTAAGAGAACAGGATAAACACATCGATAAAACATTCCACCAGCTCTCCTCTCTTATTCTCAGCCAACCTTGATAAAGGATTTAGATTTATTCTTTTTACTAAAACAATATCGTCATTCGTCAAAAGTATTTTAAATGTCGAAAAATGATAAAAAAAGCACTTAACATGCTTGTTTGGAAAAAGACTTACTAAATTATATGCTATTTTATAAACTCTTATAAAACTGTAGGTTATGAATCTATTAAACAAAAAATAAGATGTGTACTGCAGTGGAACTGCATAGCGAACAATGAAACAATAAATAAGATTGAATGTAATCTGCACTTTACAGTCGTCTTTAAAGACACATGAATTGTGTTTAACCCTTTACGTGCAAAGATTAACATTGTCTATAAAGAAAACCCTATATTAATTGTTTATTTAGATACTCAAAAATACAGGTTTTTTTAACCGAGGTTTGTCTTGAAACCTTTAAAAGAAACAATGTATTTATCCTCGGGATTGTGAAGAAGACGACATTAGAGAAAGTGTAATTAAAAATTTAAGAACAACTTGTCTGTTCGGCAAATAATATCAATAATAATAATAATATTCTAACCTGTAGACTCGCCAGGCTAGGTTTGCAAGAATAAGGGGAAAAACTCCTCCCAGCCAAATTATAAGACCCGGCCGTTCTCTGTACCAGGTTCCCAACAGTAAGGCAATGTTTAATATAATGAGAGCAGTTTCATAAACAATCTCAATCCCAATGGCGGTTGGTCCCAAGTTGTAAATGATCTTATCCACAGTAACTCCGAGCACCAACTCAATCAAATGAAAGATGATGAAAAACATACTAAACATCAGGATAAAAGATTCTCGGTCAATAGCTTTGTATCTCTTTCTAGTTTCGTCGGAATCATTTTTCAGCGGAGGTATTTCTGCTGATGATGACGTTGAGGTGGTGGAATACTCTGAGAAAATCTCCTTAGGGTCAGTCGCCATGTTGTATAACTCCTAAGCTGAAACGCATGCAACGCCGTCTGAATTTATTTGGAGTTGCGAATTTTTCTGAAAAATTTTCGTGGATTTTCAAAATATTTTGCATTTACGAGTCAGTTTGAAGTTTTTTAAGATGTGATAAGATTTTAAAAAAAATTCTATGGAGATAGACCGAAACATTAAAATTAAAATTATGCCTTACAATAGTTTACGGTTGTTAAGAGATTCCAAAGAACAGTTTAGACTAAACCCTGCTCTATTTTTGTGTTTTTTTTTAATACATTTTCAAATTGAGCAATTATAAATTTGTTAAGTATTGGTGATTGCTTTCAAAATGCTAAATGATTGTTGTTTTAAAATTGCATCAATTCTTAACGTGGATAATTACATCACCACTTTCATTATCCCCAAACTTACCACTGTTGCATAAAGGAGCTAACACCCTGACAAATAGATCCCGAGTTTGGACTAAGCTCTGGATACAGAAGAACCAAAACAAAAACTATAGATAAACAGGCAACTGAGAGAGAGTAAACAGATAGATGGATAGATATACGTGTACAAGAAGATAGAAACAAAAAGTTAGATAAATAGCTAGCTAGATAGATTCATAATAGTTGTATGAACAGATATGAACTTGATTTAACGTTTTAATTTGAACTCAATGCAACAGGAAAAACACGTTTCTAAAAAATTATTAATTTAACGCAATTTTAATCAACGTATATTCTAAAGTAATTCAAACAAATTTCTACATAGATATAGTTTCCAAAAATGCAAAATAAACTATTTTTCCTATTCACAATGTTACCCTTGTAAAAAATATGGCTGACCAAGAATATTTATTGTTTTAAAACTGACTTATGATTTAAAATACAGAAACAATTTAAGGAAATTGGCAAAATAAATATTTTTTAAGGAACAACATCACCGATATCTTCCACATTTTTAATCATACAAAAATTCAACAAATGTTGGTGTGAATCGGATCTTTTTTAGATGAAGTGTTTATTTTAAAGGTTTATTTTGACTCATTGACTGTACAAAATAGATGTGCTAGATTTAACTATAAATGAATATTTTGAAGATTTGCATCTTTGACATTTTCCCTAATTAATGTTTATAATTGAACTCAGGAAATACAGGCCGCCGTCATTAAAATGTTGTTTACTTTGAAAACATCATTAAACTCTGCAGAGGCCGAGCAAAGGCCAAGACTAAATTAAGTCAATCAAAACTAATCTAAATTTACATTTAAATAAACATGATAGAAATAATGTAATTTATGATGGAGATCACCCAAAAAACGATTTTCTTGCATTAAATGGTTTTATAAAGCACGCATCAACTGGCGTTCATGCGCCCAAAAATATGCTTTGCACGTAAGCATCCTGTAGTATTCTTTTATCCTTAATTGTTTCAAAGCTCTGTATCCCAGTATTCCTGAATCCATGAATTCCTAAATCCCTGTATCCCTGTATCCCTGTATCCCTGTATCCCTGTATCCCTGTATCCCTGTATCCCTGTATTCCTAAATCCCTGTATCCCTGTATCCCTGTATCCCTGTATCCCTGTATCCCTTTATCGCTGTATCGCTGTATCGCTGTATCCCTGTATCCCTGTATCCCTGTATCCCTGTATCCCTGTATCCCTGTATCCCTGTATCCCTGTATCCCTGTATCCCTGTATCCCTGTATCCTTGTATCCCTGTATCCCTGTATCCCTGTATCCCTGTATCCCTGTATCCCTATAATGAAGTGTCCCCTGTATCTTGATCTATGATCCTAACAAGTTCATATTTCAATTCTAAGGATTCACCTTGAGTACATGTCGTGTTTTACGCGCGGTTAATGCACGCGCTGCTCACCAAGAATAAATAGATGTTACGCGCATTTAAATAGAAGTTTAGTAACACATTACAGCTAGGTTTCATTTTTTTCCTTCGATAAATTGCTCTTCAATGTACAATTTATGTATGTATATTGTAATGTACTAGTACTTTTACTGTTTAGTAGTGTACATGTACTGAACTTTTCTGTGGTGTACAGTTTTTGTACATGTATTGAAATGTTACTTAAAATAGTATTGCTAGATCTACCGTCGTGCTCATTGCATTGTACAGTATTCAATGCATATGCTTGTGTACATAAGATTTCCGTTTTTACCTATACTCAAACAATTAACAATTAACAAAAATTTATAAACATATAAACCACGTTTTCTCCTGTCCGTTCCCTGTAATCTATGATCTTTGCAATACAGATCTGACTTGATTTTTGCAAGTTTTTTGCTTGTTATTCTGTCTCCCGGAGTTCAAAAAAGGATTTAGTTTCATCTTGTTAGAAGGATTATTTTACAGAATTTAATCCATTTTTTTCTAATTTTACATATTCGCACCCCCCCAGAAATTAATATTTTTCATTATGTATGCACCCTGGTCATGGCTAAATGTATAATCTATGAAATGACATTATTCTGAAATGTTATACGTAGAAAAGGGCCAGTCAATGACATTTTTTTATTACAATATTCATTCAATATCATAACCAGGAAATCTTTAATATCTTCACTTAGAAATCCTAAAGTTTTGTTCGCAATAAAAAAAATACCGTAAGCTATAGAAATTGCGAAAAATTTGTTCAAAATTACAAACATCAAAGTTAGGGATATATTTATGCACTGCACTGCCATTGGTGGTAGTACTGGTCACGTGATACGGACGTACTGGTATCAAATAAAAAATTATTAAAGGTAGTGTTCACAAAAAATTAAAGGGGTTATAGGCTTACCGCGAAAAATAATCGCTTTTGTTCGCTACTAATCTTACTTCTATCTGTTGCGTTTATAAGGAGAACATTGTTAAAAACGACTTTTACTGAAGAACGTGGCGTCCATAGAAATTCAGAAAGTTGCAATACTCGGATCGTAAAAAAAATCAATTTAATTTCAAACACATCATTTAGATATTACAACCTATAGTCATCGATTATTTTTCGACGCATTCGTATATATAGTGAATATTTCATAATAATTGTTATTTGTTTCATATACAATTAACTTAGAACGATTTTTTCCGCTAGGTGTCTCTGCCACGTGTATTAATTCAAAGCATCGAGAGGAGAGACATCTGTCGGTCAACTATTTCGGCGTTTAAAGTGCATTGTACACAAAACGAATAAAAAATATTATGAAATACTATAAACGAATGCGTCGAAAAATATTCGATGACTAGGTTGTTATATCAAATGATATATTTGAAAGTAATTTGATTTTTTTAGGATCCGAATCGTATATCGCAACTTGTAACGATCAAAGGCGATAATTTTTTTGCCGAGAGCCTATACCACCCCCTTTTATTTTTTGCATACCACTCCCTTTAAATTCAAATAATAGTAAGAGTAAACCTGAGTTTTTTCAGGCTCCTCTGGGATATAGTAGTTTTCAGATTGGTTGCGTATTTGCTGAATATAACCTGTTATCTGAAACCTATAATCTTAAACCAAATCTTACAAATTTAAGTTTTGGTATAATTTTGACACAGTTTTAAATCAATTTCTTGAGACAGGAACATTAGATAAAACTCTTATAGGTCTCCATCAATTCCTGAAATGATCAGGTTTCAGCCTCTACCCCCATTCATTTTACCTTTTCAATCCCTTTAACCTGTGCTGTATTATCTTCTGATGATGTAAGATAATAAAAATCTAAATTATATATAATTAAATAAAGTATTAGAAACTATTATTACAGGACTAATTAGAGGAAGTCATTAGATTTTGATAGCATTAATTATCATTACACAGATTTACTTGTGTGGTAAAGAGACTGTAAGCTTAATTTGAAATGATTAATTAAAGAGACTGTACGTGTAATTTGAAGTTATCCTTCAATTAAAAAGACTGTACGCTTAATTTGAAGTTATCCTACAGTTAAAGAGACTGTACGCGTAAATTGAAGTGATCCTTCAATTAAAGAGACTGTACGCGTAATTTGAAGTTATCCTTCAATTAAAGAGACTGAACGCGTAATTTGAAGTTATCCTTCAATTAAAGAGACTGTACGCGTAATTTGAAGTTATCCTTCAATTAAAGAGACTGTATGCGTAATTTGAAGTAATCTTCCAATTAAAGAGATTGTGCGCGTAACTTGAAGTGATCCTTCAATTAAAGAGACGGTACACGTAATTTGAAATGATCCTTCAATTAAAGAGACTGTACCCGTAATTTGAAGTGATCCTCCAATTAAAGACTGTACGCGTAATTTGAAGTTATCCTTCAATTAAAGAGACTGTGCGCGTAATTTGAAGTGATCCTCCAATTAAAGACTGTGCGCGTAACTTGAAGTGATCCTTCAATTAAAGAGACTGTAAGTGTAATTTGAAGTGATCCTTCAATTAAAAAGTTGCACTTTGCATGTCCTATTCACAACAACGGTACCTTAAAATCTTTTTCTAATCTATAAAAATTATATATTCATGTCTTCTCTAAGTTATGGTTCCTTATAGAAATAACTTGCGGATTTCTTGGTACAAAAGCATGGAGGAAATACTAAGAATTGAACACTTTTCAATCTAGAAAAACGATTATATCTTAAATATTATTAATCAGATAAATATTTAGAGGGTACTCTTGTAAATCGAGAATAACCCTCTTTAAGTCTTGGTCTGATGAATATATATCCTTATTTTCTCATTGAAAAATTATTAATATTTCAATTGTGGTTTGGGAAAATTGTCAGAATGAACACTTCAAGTTTCAAGGTAGAAACCACTAATTTTATACAGGATGTCTGCTCATGTCTTGATTATGCATCTAAAATATCTATTCTGTAATCTACATAATAGCTGTATAATACATTTTATATCAAATTCAAAGAGAATGACGAATAAAAGAGTTAGCACAAAATAAAAACAAAAAAGTTGGAGATGCAAAAAAAATTCAAATATTTTAAACTTACACAATTTTATCTTTTCACTCAGTTTCAAAACGAGCAAATATAAGAAATGAATAGTCAGGCAAAAGTCAGAATTAAGTTCTTCCATAAATTTAAAGGATACAAAGTGCATCCT